ACATAAGCGCCTCTGAAGTTCTTGAACAACAGGAATTACATTTTCATCCGAAGGGTCTCGAAGCAAGACCTATAAGAATAAAAACAAAATAAAAAAACCATGTCCGAAAGAATTGAAGCCTTACTCTTTCACAAGCACCAGATTCATTAAACCTACAGTGTAAGAAAATGAGAAACAGTTTTTGAGGCACTAACATACACAGAATTATTTGTGGGCATTAATAGGACTATAGGACTGTCCGTTACCCACCTATACGAAAAACTAGAAATTTTACTTGTTAGAATTATTTCAATAACAGTGTCCTAGGTCAACAAAACAACCCATACAAAAAAGACACTACCAATGTGGCTAAAAAAGGCAGGTTATTATAAGTGAGAAACACAAGCAAAAAGTGATAAATGACAATATTAAAGATACCAAGCCCAAAACAAATGCAATAAAATTCGAGAACAAGATAAAGTGATAAACACACGTGCGAAAATTAATATGTCATTAAAATAGATAGAGTCCAAACCTTACAAATACCTTCTTGATGAAAACATCAGAAGCCATATACTACATATAATTGTTCATTAGTAGATGCAATAATATAGTGCATTTGTCAAATCTCAGGCTTTAAGTTGGCTCCCCATTACAGTTCCAAAGATAAACACAACCAATTAACTAATACCAATTACGAAAAGTAAGGGAATGAACAGGACAGTAATAATAAAGATAAGAGCCAAACATACAAAATCATATAGGGTATAAAGAGATGTTAAATTTTGGTAGTACCTCATCAGCAGTGATGATTGCCTTGATATGCTGAGCACCCAAAACACCAAATAAATAAATCAATCAGTAAGAGGCACACGCACGGACAAAAGGAAAAACAGAAGAAAATTGAAATAATTTGAAGTAAGAAAACAACCTCTAAATTTAAAACAATAGCTTTTTCACGACCTAGAATAGCAGAAGGGTAGGAGAGAAGAGGATCTAAAATACGAAGATCACGAGCATGAATTTGAACGCGGTGCATAATAGCGTGCTTGTCAAGGTCAAGAACAGTAGCATGACTAGAAGAATCAAGTAAAATCCAACTACGTGACCCAGCAGGTTTCTTCTTCAGAACCACACTTAAGCTCATTTGAGGGTCCACGGGAACTACGTATCCTTCTCTACCCATCACTTCTTTTATGTTTTATTCATTCCTGCAATAAAAAAATTACCAAGGGTACTTATTTCTTCAGTGGCACATCCAGAAATTTTAAATGCAGGTATAATCTTTAGCTTCTAAATAAATGAAATAATAATTAAGAACATATAGAAAGTCACATGTACGTAGTACAAAATCCGGAGTAACAGCCAGTTCGTAAGATGAAATATTAAAGAGTAACAATAATTCTTAAGTAAAAAAACTATAACTATTCTAAATAATTTTAGTTTCATCTAATTGATGATATCATCATCACTTGTGAGAACAAACTCTCTCTAAGTAACAAAAAACTATTTAGAAATTGATCAATTAATCAAGCGGTCACAAATTTAGGGAAATTGTTCAATTGCTATAACCTAAGACAATCATTAAATTAGGTATCAAATTAATAACTTGATCTTATTTTCCTTCTACGCCTATGTCCTGAATAAGGAGGAACATGTTGGCTTCTAGAGAAGTACAGAGCTAGTGCAGCAACCAGGTGGTTAGACAGTGTTAACCACTAAACATGGTTATTCTAGAATGCTAATGATGTATAAGCTTCTTAGTAGTTCTCGTGTTCTAATGACATGTAGGAGGATCCTTTGCAATACCTAGTTTGTACCAAAAGCTTGTTTACATGCCTCTTGGCTTATAGACTAGCTACCACCTATAGGCTAGCCAACTCGAGGATTTAACGCAAATAGAATTATTGCTTGTACAGACCGCAAGATGAATTTTCAAATCACCTTTCATTAGTCTACTTAATCAACTGAAGTGTGGCGAATAGCACTAAAACTGGTATAATGCGTTAGGGCTCCTACAAGAGTTGATCCTAGCCATTATGTTTTGCAGGTATACCTCTCCAATGGCTAAGCTATATGTCACTCCATACGTGTTTCTACAACACCGCGTGTGCAATTCAAACGCAAAGGAATATTACCAGTAGTATTAAGCAATACTTGCTTGTCTAGTGCTTGTATGATTAAAGAATATATCCAGAAGACCGGAACTATGTTTAATGTTGCCTGTATAAGCCATAGGATCAAGGTCACGAAAGCTTCAGCTACAATCTAGTATTGATTACTAGTGTGTCTTAACCTATTTTGTTCAATCTTAACAGCACAAAATTCAATCTGGCGTATAAATTAATGCTTAATTTAATTTCCTTATTCGAGCAAACTTTCCGATCATAATTTAACTTCCTTATTCGAGCAAACTTAACAATTTCACAATCCTAAATCTCAAAGTCGCAAATCATAAACGTAAATTTAAATACGCAAATTGAACTCAGAACTCAAGAAACTCAGAACTCAATCCCTAAAAACGAAACTCAAATCAATTCAAAAATAGTGAAGAAGACGAGTAAAATCAAAATTTCAACAAAATCAACAACTAAATAAAATCAAAATTTGAAATACCTCGTACAAAACACTCAGCGCTGTTTGCTGCAGCAGAGTGGAAGGCGGTAGTCGGAAGTACGGCGGAGAATGCGGTGGCCGGCGATTGTGGTGCGACGGGGGAGAAGAAATCGCGAGGATGGCCGGCGATTCAGGTTCATGCTATCGAGTTTTGCAGGGAATATGATTGAGGAAACAACTTTGCTAAGAGAATCAACTACCCTTTTGTTTGTATTATTTATTCTATTTTTATTTTTGGCGTTACACTCGCCGTCTCTACCTGGGGAGGTGCTTTTCTTTAATCTGTTGACATAAATCTTGGCAGCTTCTTGGGTCTTGAATGTGATTTGTGGCTTCGTTATTGAGAAATTGTTATATACACCCGGGTGTGGGTGTACGGTGCATTCGAAGATATATGTTTGTTTATTTGATGATAAAATGAGTAAAAAATACTCTTTTGCGTGCACCTTACACCCGGTTGTATAAAACAATTTCTATGTTTTATGGGCTAATTCGGATTTGAGGTTTAGTTTTGAGTAATTAGGGCTCCAATTTCCTCCCCCAATTTTTTTTACGGGGGATCGGACATACAATCTCACTTACCAACTACCATGTGCAACACCAATTACCACTACACCAACAAGAATTGATAATATTATGAAATTCATGTATCATAAAATTTGTAATTCATATGAGATAGAATCTGAAATTCGTAACTTGTAAATTGATAGGCCAAATCTAGATCATTTTGGCATTAAAGATAATAAATTCTAAGTACTTGTTAGAAGTTGATTGTTTATTAACCAAACGTTGTTTATCAACCTAAGGTTAAAGTCAAGTTCAAATTATTCATTATTTTTAAAGGGATTCCTTGTTGCTACATTCATGAGAACCCCAAATGCTAATGATGAAGTATTAGGTAACACATAACATGTCTAAGAAAAACATGTAGAACCCAAATGCTAATGATGAAGTATTAGGCAACACATAACATGTCTAAGAAAAACACCAACACAAGTAGTAACAAGTCTACCAAGTTAAGCTTGATCTAGTGGTAAGGATTGTACCTTCCAACTTTGAAGTTTGGGGTTCAATCCCTACCAGAGACATTTTGAAGGTGGTGATCCTTTATCGCCCCCCCCCCCCCCTTCACTCTCAAAGTGTTTGACCCGCAAATATTGAATCACAAAAAAATCAAGAAAATTGAGGTATCGTTAGAAAGTAGTAACAAGCCTACAAATAAAGCTACAACAATTCCAAAATGAGGGGTAGTTTGGGATGGGGAATCCGCTTTTTAGGAACTTTTCTTTACCTTTACAAAATTAAAAAACACTAATACAAAATATAATGTCTTTAACTTTCGCTTTTATTTTTAAAAAAAAATTTGCAAAAATAAATAAACAAAAGGAAAATTATTATTAACTAGCGGAGAATTTTGTTTTCATGATCACCATGACTATACGTAGTTAATGGGGCCTCAACTTGAGGTGTGTTCCCCACTCACTCTACTAAGGGCTTGTTCAGCTGTTCACTTCAGCTTAATTTCAATTAAGATCAGTTTAGTTCAGTTCATTCAGCTCCAATCAGTTTAGTTCATTTCACTTCAATTCAGCTCCTAATTTCTTTCTCTAATAAAATATTCATTTCATTTCAATTTAGTAAATATGAACAGGCCCTAAGCTTGTGTGACTATACGATGATGGAGAACTATATCTTAGTTCTTACTACTAGCAGTCCGTACTCGGTTCATTGATCATTTGATCCCAAAGTTGGAGAAAATAATCATGTTGGGCTCTTACAACTTGGATTTGTATTCTGGACCTACTCACATCCCACTTCGGGAAAAGGCCCATAACTTCTGGAGTCCAAGTGGGCTCTCAAAACCCTAATGTAATTTCAAGTTTCAAAATATTTTTATAATTTAGTGTTGGGCTTGGGCTAGTAGATGAAGCAATGCTTTTCTTTAACCAAACCAAATAAGATTTTGAATACTTAGTTGTATACTTGTATGATATGTCCAATTAATCCAAGACCAAAAGTTTACCTAATAAACAACTAATGTTAACAACGATCATTCATATGACGGGTAATGATTTAAACTATTTTTCGTGTAAAATCGTTGTTCATGAATCATAACGACATACACATACATTATACAAGATGAAAAAATGTCGTACCATTTAGGTTGGAGTGTTGGACCGTCAACCAACAAGTCTAAAACTAACAACATACATAGTGAGGTGTTATATTATCAACATATCAATTATCATATGAATGATAATGTGTTATTGTAAAATCATAAGGAAGATATGAAGGACATGCAAGGGATACAGTTTTGTACCAAATGCATGTTTTACCATCTTAGAAAACGAAGATGTTATATATATTCAAAACATTCAAACATCTAGTCATAACTAAAGTACCAAAATAGTTTTTGCATGTATATAATTCAGTTATTATGTATGAAAATTTGTATAGCTATATATATATATAGCTCATGCTTTTTTTTTCATAAACTTCATACATACCGAAAGCCGAGAAAATAACAATGGAGTCACAAATTTTTTTGGTAATGGTAGGAATAATATTAGGGTTAGGGATGGTGGTAAAAGTAGAAGGAAGATCTCCAGTGTTGCATGAGGTTGGAGGAGGTAGGTTTGGTTGGAGGCTTAATGTCAACTTTTCTAATTGGGCTGCTAATCAACATTTTTATGTTGGTGATTGGCTTTGTAAGTATTATTTTTCCCTAATCTCCTTTTTTTTCCATGCATTTTTTTTTAATTATAATTTTGGATTAAGTACATTAAATTCTTATAGTTTAGAACAAAAATTGTTTGTAATATTGAACCATGCATAATTTTTTTATTTTTTATTTTTAATTAAATTACATGTTAATATATATGTTGGCCATTGCGAGTTTATGTAGTTTAATGTTATCTTTTATTGTATGTATTATATTCATATTTCCGTGATAGTAATTAGTTTGAGTGCGATAATACTATACATCAAATAAATTAAAAAGTATTGTGATAAATGATAATTGATAAGCTTTCTTAATTAGCTTGATTTTATGTCTTTTTTGCCCTTGATTTCTTACTTCATTGCATCAATTGACACCTTTTTTTTTTCATATCTTAATCATATGGGTATCAAATGACAACCTGTCATACCATTAAAATGTGCAAACTTGTTGTATCAATCACTAATTAAGAAAGTTTCCTTGCTAATCCTATCAGAATGTTACTTGTAATAACATGCATCTGACAAGTTAATAATAAGTCGTAGCAATCAATTTTTCTGCATGTTATAAATTGATTTATTTTCTTTAATAATTTAAAGCAAGTCTTCTGACTTAACTATAACATAATTACTCCCTAATTGATGGATTAAATTAATATTAATTACTAATTCTAATATAGTTTAATTTTTTGACAGATTTTGGGTTTGACAAGAGGATTATAAGTGTACTAGAGGTGAACCAAACAAATTACAAAAATTGCATAGAGAAAGACTACATAACCAACATAACAAGAGGAGGAAGAGATGTATTTAATCTAACGGTTGCTAGGCCTTACTATTTCATCAGCGGTCGAGGTTACTGCTTACGTGGCATCAAACTTGCAATCAACGTTCAAGATGCTCCATTGCATCCTACACTCCCTCCTATGTCTTCTGATTCACTCACCAAAACAAGCCCTAATTCTACTTTCATCACTTCTCATGCCACCACCAACACCACCTATTATCGACTGTTCGATCATTTTCTCATCATGATCATTGTCATCATCGTGTTTGTAGTACCTAATCAGCCCTTTGCTAATTAGTAATACAGTATTCCATCCGTCTGAAATTAATTGTCATATTAATAACGTGATTAACCTGACTAGTAATGTCGTGTATTTATTAAATTCGTGTTTCTTAGATATTATTTGAGGATTTGAGTAGGGTACACTCGATTTGCTTGTTTGGTGTTTTATTTCTATCAAATTAATGTTGGAAATATATTGGTGGATGTGATCATTCAATGTACCACAAAACCAAGGAATAGTACAACAAATTTTCATGTGAAATGTCCAAGAAATATGATTAATCACATCTTTGTACGGTTACCGTGCTTTTATTATTAAATTTTTGGTGTGATTCAAATAATTGCCGATACTCCGGCCCCTTCTTAGTTCCCACCTAAGAAAATAGTACACCTTATATTATTTGATATTACTATATGGTAAAATATGATCTTATTTACCTTTGTACCAACAAAAAATTATAATTATTAGCTTAATTAACTCCGCATTATAGGTAAACATTTTAAAATAATGATTTAAATATTTGTCATTTGAGATTAGTGCCGTTTAAAATACACTATAATCTTCAACCAAGGCTTTAGTGTCACCTTTTTAAAGGGTAATATAATTAATATTATCCACAATCCTAAAAAGAATTTTTATGTCATGGAAGCACATAGAATAAGATGAAGACTTTGTATAGAGTGATCATGATGAGCATTAGACAATAATAGTACGAGTACACCGCAAATGATATCTACAATCCTTCAAGTTGGTTTTTTTGGAAGATATTATACTCCATCAAATAATTGTGTGAAAAGATAAATCGCACTCTCAATGATTTTTTAATCTATATTTTATTCAATGAAGAGTATTCCTTAGCAATAATGTCAATACAAATACAAATATAGAATATTACTCCATACATATTTTTAGGTTGTCACATATTCAAAAATAGATATAAACTTCCAACAAAAATAAATAAAAATATAAGCTATGTTCTTAACTTTCAAACCCACCCTTACATGAAATACGGGGAAAAAAATGATAATTATAAGAATCACACTAAAATGAAATGAATGAATGAATTGAATAATAGTCTTTTAGTTAGCTTAAAATGTTTGTGTATATATATATATATACAACAACTACACTACCTTCGTTTAAGGGTCTATTCTAATTTACTGAAAACAATTGAACTGAACTAAACTGAATTGATTGGAGCTAAACTGAACTGAACTGAATAGAGCTGAAATAAATTGTTTATGAGAGAAGAAAATTAGAAATTGAACTAAACCGAACTAATTTAAACTGAACAAAACAGGGCCTTAGAAAGGTAATGGTAAATTTTTAATACTAACAAATTAACAAAGCAACGTGATAGTGTAACTATAAATGTCAAATAGCTCCTTCGCCTCATATTATGCAACTAAGGGATGTTAATGAATTGAGCTCAGTTAAGATTAAACTTGTTATAGTTAAATTTTTTATTCACTTATCCGAGCTTAATTAGTTTATTTTTTGTTGTATGAAGGGTTTTTAAACAATCAAATTATTAATTGAACACAAGCGATCCATTTTTAGCATAAACAAGTCGAATCAAAATTGTTCAAGATATGCTTCTTTGTTTTATTAAGCAAGCTTGATTGCTAACCTAATGATGGAACGTTCACCAAGATTCAAATTGAGCATATTTGTTTACCAACTTAGGGACTGTTCCGATTGACTGAACTGAACTGAACTTATTAATTAGTGATTTTTAACTACGGATTAGTGATCTTTGATTATTTATTGATTATTTATTACTATACATATGTGTATATACAAATGTACATATTAAAATATTTACGAAAAATATACTATATAATTAATTATAAAATTTATGGAAAATATATTAAAAATATACTATAGAACCATTTGAACAATGAATTGTATCAATATTATTATTATTATTATTATTATTATTATTAATTATTGATTATTATTATTATTATTATTTATTGATTATTATTATTATTAGTATTGTTATTATTATTATTATTTATTGATGATTATTATTATTATTATTATTATTTATTGATTATTATTATTAGTATTATTATTTCAATTATTATTGTTATTATTATTATTTATTATTATTATTATTATTTATTACTTATTGATTATTATTATTATTATTGTTGTTGTTGTTGTTGTTATTGTCGTCGTCGTCATTGTAATAAGAGCTTAAAAGAATGAAATTTGGCTTTATATCATTAGCAATATCATTAGACATAAATTATGAGCTGAAGTGAACTGAATTGAACTGAATTTCAATGGAAGAGAAAATGCCCTTATTAGACTATTGGTTTTCATACTCGATCCAACCCGACTCAACTAATGAGATCCAATCCAACTCAAGCCGAACATCTCAAAACAACATCCGTGACACCATGCCAACTCCAATTAATTAACAAATGACAAATAAAGTTAGCATGTTGAGATCTTGAGAATGTATAAACCAATAAATAGTCCATAATAGTAGTAGAGTCATAGCTAGCGAGCCTAGCGTGGTAGAGGCTACACTATACCGTTATATGCGGTCCACACAAGGTGGAGATTGAAGGAGTTGAGTCGTGAGAAAAGTGTCGGTGACACGAGCATAAACCACCCAACTGTCCCTTCTCTGTTTGCAATTATGATTCATAACCATTATCAATTTTTACACCTTTTCTTTTATTTATTTTTTTTCTTTTTTCATTTCATTTTATTTTTCCATTTGTTTTTATAATAAGGGGGAAAGAACCCAAAACTTTATTTTTGGTTTATATTAATTTTTGCACCTACCAATAAAATCCAAATTCCTTGACCATTTTAGCCACCTCCTTTTCTTTCTCTCTCCTCATTTTTTTGTCTTTTGAGGTGTCCTTAATTCTCTAAAATATACTCTTCAATAAAAATTCAATCTCTTTCACCTTTTTCACCAGTATATCCGTTGTAAAAACAAACTTTCATCATCTTCTTTATATAACTTCCTACTCTATAATATAGTTAGAAAATTAAAAGAAAATCCCAGAAATTCAGTGCTATTATTTTCCAATTTCCAACCTTTCTTTCTTCATTTTGTACCATGTGAGTTGGGACTGTGACTTAATAATTAAAGTCCTGATTTTTTTAGTGTTCTTTCCTTTTATGGCGCTTATTTCCCAGTAATTAATACCCCTTTATAAATCAGCTGTTTTTTTTAGTGGGAAATTTAGAAATTGATTCCTTCAGTTAGGGTTCTTCTTTAATTTTTCTGGGGTTTTCTTTAATTTTTCTGGGTATTGTTAGATTTTCCTGAATCTTCAACTGGGTATGTATAGTAATACAATGAAGTTCAGAAGAAAAGAAGAAATGGGTTTCTTGTTGATGCTGCTGATTTTCCCGATTTTATTGGTTTCCGCTGATAATTCTCCTAATCTATACTCTGTATGTTCTCACTCTTCTTCAATTCATTTCAATTTCATAAAATTGCTATTAATTTTATTATAATTATCTTATTTTAAGTTTTTAATTGGGTTAAATTTGATAGATGTTGTGATCTTGATGTGTTTTAGATAATTATAATAATTCTTTGACTTTCTCAATGTGAACTAGTTGACAAGAGTCTTAGATGTGAAGACCAACGATAGTTTTAGGAAAAGTTGAACTCGATATTAATGGTTGTAAATGACTATATTTCTTACTCTTTGGAGTAATTTCATTTAATTTGTATAAATTGGGTAATATATTTGATATAATTGGTCATATTATGCAGAATTAACTCAAGGCGCTGTTTTGTTAGATTGTTTTATTAAGATTGCTATTTTGCTATAATTAGTAAACATAATACAAGAAATTGAATTATTCTACGGTTGAGATGTCAAGTGCTGGAGTTTGTAGTAATTTCTATTGTTTTCTTAAAATTAATAAGTTTTTGATAATTATGTGGCGTCATGTTGATTAGGACATTTACATTATAGTGTGTTGATTTTGCTTAGTTTGTGTATTTTGGGGAGTAGCAGTTTGTCTCTTTTTGCTTCAGCATGTAATGGTTCATTTTTATACCTATTTTTAGACCCAATAGCTTTGAAAAAACATATTTATAGATTTTATGGGTTTACTGATCTCATAGTAGGTGAATGATGATGTCAATTGAATTCTATTGGTGATAGTTGAGGGAGCACAAGCGTGCGAGCCTCCTAATCTTCTTGTTAGGTGGGAGTGCTAGTATGCAGCATTTGTTAATTGTTTCCGAGCTAACAATAAGGTTCATATTAGATTTATGTTCAACTATAATGTTCAACTATAGTGAACATTGAATAAATATGTTTCACAGGATGCTCTTTTATTAGCTTTGGTGATTCTTGCTCACGATTATACTATGTTTGGCTTTTATAGCAGCAGAATTTAATGTCAAGCAAAAAAAATAGTAAAAGCATATTGCATTTATGTTAAACAGTATTTGGTTGATGTTTACAGCTTCTTGCTAGCAGTGCTCTATGTTGATTGGTCTGTTCTTATGACAAAGGCAGCTTGAATTGAACTGTACTACTTGTTTTGGCAATTCTTAGTTAAACACTGATACCTTTTTATCTAATTCCCTCAAGAGAAAGATATCCCTTTTTCAAACTATAGGGTGATGTGAATAATTTTCGGATGGTCTTTTAAAATGTGCTATACTGCTATGTGCATATTGAAACAAAACTATAGTTTGGAGAATTTGGGTTGCTGACTTGAATCTCTTTACCTTGGCAGGAATGGCTGTCTGTAAAACCTCGACACTCAAATCTTCTGAAAGATGCTCTTAAAAGTGAACCTGTGAGTAAATACAAATTGGACATCGTCTCTTTTGACACTCCTTGCTCGCCTTTTTTATTTATTTATTTATTTTTTTCACAATCTGATGTCTTTACGTTGTTTTCCACTTCCTAGTCAAATGACGAGCCTTCCGAACTTTGGTCCCCGTTACCTGATCAAGGATGGAGACCATGTGGAATAAGTTCTAAATCTGGTGAGCACTGTAATTTAACAATAGTGATGATATATATGTGGCATTTTCCCTCCACGAAAGAACACAGTTTATATTTATTATTTGTTATAATCTTTTGTCCAAGTTGTGATGATAGTCTCTCATTAGCCTTTTCTTTATCTATGCAGAAAAGCCAACTAACTCATCTGGATACCTCCAAGTATTTCTTGATGGAGGTCTGAACCAGCAACGCATGGGGGTAAGTAGGGATTTTAAGATATTTGCCAACTATCATTTTCTTTATTTTTGTCTAAATTTGAGATGCTGTAACTGAGAATTTGTAATTTTTTTTCCAGATATGTGATGCTGTAGCTGTTGCTAAGATTCTGAATGCGACATTGGTGATTCCCCTACTTGAAGTTAATCCTGTTTGGAAGGACTCGAGGTATTTATGAATAAGTGATGCAATACATATTCTTTTGGGATCTAAATTATGTTTGTGGAGTCAAACTCTGAAGTCGTGTTCAATTTCCTTTTGGCAGTTCATTTGAAGAAATTTTCGATGTGGATCACTTTATTGATGTCCTAAAGGATGACATTAACATAGTGAAAGAGCTACCATTTGAGTATGCATGGAGCACCAGGGAGTTCTATTCCACTGCTATTCGTGAAACCAGAGTTAAAACTGCACCTGTGCATGCTTCAGTTCATTGGTACTCTGAGAACGTGTTGCCTGTACTTCAAAGGTGATTCACAGACTGTTGACTTAATATATTTTTAAGCTTTACGCTATTCAAAGATGTCCATTACAAACAAAGCAAGCATCATGTTAAAATACAAGCTGTTACACTTAATGTTAATGATATCACATTAACATTGAGTTAGTGAATGTGATGCCAGGAATAGCATGTCTCCTAGGTTGTAAGACTGCAAGGCTCTTTCTTTGTTTTCTAAATGCAAATGAAAGTGAAAATTTTAAAGTTTTAATAACATGAAAAAAAAATACATTACGGAATGCCAACGCTCAGGCTAGTGGAAATATATAATTGTCTTTGCAACGCTAATGCTGATTCTTTGTTTGTGTGCTTCAGCTATGGGATTGCTGCAATTTCTCCTTTTTCTCATCGTCTAGCGTTTGATAATATGCCTGAAGACCTTCAACGTCTACGCTGTAAGGTTAATTTTCAGGCACTGACGTTTGTCCCACACATCAGAGCACTTGGTGATGCTCTTGTGAGACGGCTCCAATACCCATCTTTGAAAAGTGAACCAGAGCATGGGTTACTTAGACAGTTTTCTTACAGGAAAGGATCAAGAGAGCCACAGAAGTTTGTTGTTTTACACCTTCGATTTGACAAGGTATGTTGTACACTTGATTATAATGTTGGTTATATACAGTATGTTTTACCAATTTTGGTTTTCAATTGTATCTGCATTTTCCAAATATTCCATTTGTGCAGGACATGGCTGCCCATTCAGCCTGTGATTTTGGTGGCGGTAAAGCAGAAAAGCTGGCTCTAGCAAGGTATAGGCAGGCAATGTGGCAAGGAAGAGTCCTGAACTCTCAGTTTACTGATGAGGAGTTAAGAAGTCAAGGGCGTTGCCCGATGACCCCAGAAGAAGTTGGACTACTTCTAGCTGCTCTGGGATTTGATAACAATACACGTTTATATCTTGCCTCGCACAAGGTAGTAATAAACTACTTGTCGTATTGTTGAACCAGAAAAACAAAGTTAATTTTGATTGACTAATGACAATTTTTGTACATGTAATCTTTTAGGTTTATGGCGGAAAAGCTAGGTTAGAGACTTTACGGAGACTGTTTCCCCTGATGGAAGATAAAAAGAGCCTTGCTTCCGCTGATGAGCGTGCACGAATCAAGGGGAAGGCTTCCTTGCTAGCGGCTCTTGACTATTATGTCAGCATGCATAGTGACATTTTTATTTCAGCTTCTCCAGGAAACATGCATAATGCTCTGGTAAGCACTTTAGATGGAGAATAATATGGCTTCTTACATTAGAAAATTCATCATTATTGCTCTCTATATCATAATACGGAGTATTAAACTATATAACAAAATAATGCATGGTACATTAATTTCAGGTTTAAGTTCTTTTAGAACTTCCTGACTTGAACGATTATGTTTGGCATTATATAACTAGAACTCTCTTATCTTGGAAATTAACAAGAGACATTGTATTAAATGTTTACAGGTTGGGCATCGAACTTATGAGAGTTTGAAGACTATTAGGCCAAACATGGGTATGTTGGGTCAGATCTTTTTAGACAAAAACATGAGTTGGGTAGATTTCAGACAAGCAGTAGCCGAGGGACACCATTACAGACACGGTCAGCTACGATTACGCAAACCGAAGCAATCTATTTACACATACCCTGCTCCGGATTGTATGTGCCGTGCTTGAGATTTGTTAATATACAGTCTTTAGGAGTTTCCTTACCTTACTACACATAAATTTTGTAGTCTCACCCTATAGTTATATCACTTATATGTGGGTTCTTGTAAGCATTCCAATAAAACTCTAGCCCATTCGTTTTACTTGTAAATGTCGCATAGTATTGAACGTGTTACAGCAAGGCCAGAGTAGATGTATGGTTTGAGAGGCCAAGTTTATCATTATGGGATGTTGATATACGAGTAATGAATAGTAGATACATATCTTTTACTTGAATCGATCATTGTACAAAGGATTACTTGTTCTTGATAGAACTCTTCCACTGCGATTATTTATACGAGTTGAACCGTGCTACTTCATTACTACCCAAGTTGCTTATGCACATTGATTGTTGTTGGATTAGATTAATATTGTAATTTTACACTTGATATTTCAATATTAGATTTTTACTTTTTTCTTTTTTTGGCTTCCTGTAAAATTTCTGACTTCATGTTCTAGATTGTTCTGATCACCCTACTTGAGTACTAGTTGTTTGTCAGCATCCTTATTCACGAGCATTTGCCTCCATACTGTCTTTGGAGCTAGAAAAAGTGAGAACATAGGGTGATAAGGGATACCAATGAACGTTCATCATTATTGGAATTGCCTTCACATGCTTATATGAGCTTTTTATTTTGGATTTACCCTCACATGCGCATCTCTGTTCTGAATTATAGGAGGGACTCAGGGACTATTAGAACCCCCCTGTGAGGTAATATTTTAGTGGGGGAGAAACTCATAAACGCGTGAGGCGATGCTAGTAAGGACCACCCAGAGTGAATGTCAATTAGTTTAATTAGTTAAATAATGAAACTAGTTGAGGCGCAAAATCAAATGTGAATGTCAATTAGTTTAATTAGTTAAATAACGAAGCTAGTTGAGGCACAAAATCAAATCACGTTTGCATTATTGACATTGTGCAGCCTCCTGCGCACTGGAGTAAATGAGGAGACACTAAGTTAGTTCATATTATGAGATTCCTACAAAAAGTCTCGTACCAAATTAGCTGTGTAAAATTACACAAGAATGATTAGGCAACAGTTTCAGCCATTTTGCTAAAAAAAAAAAAAAAAAACTTGCATTTTTGTGAACCAAACAACTTTACAATGTTCTACACTTCACAAAAAATGCAAATGAGTACTTTTATATCATCCAAACAGGAACCAGGTGCATATATAGAGCAGCTTACTTTTTTACTTGAACGGCCGAACTTGAACCACACAATATAAGAATGAATCATTGGTAATTGATACTCCGGATACTGGAATCAAAATATATCTTCCTACCTCAACATCAACTTTACTACCCAGAATGGATATGACACTGGAGCTTAATATGGAACAATTTGGAGGAGATTGATGAAGAATGTGCAGTCTCAACACCAGAGAACTGCAAATCTGCTATGACACAAATCTAAACACTGTAGACTCCTAATAATTGCATATCAACACCTGACAACTTGCCAGTTCGGTGTCAAACAAATACCACACCCAACTGGCAATGAAATGGTAAACTAGCTCTTTAACGATTTACAAGGAGCAATGAAGCCCAACGAAGCTTGAGGGATTAGTTTGTGCAAGCAAAGGTCAATTGAAATAATTACTTTCCTACTTGTCTTTTCCATCCTTCTCTCCTGCAGAATTTCCAGGTCCACTACTCCGTGCAGCTAAATCTTTAGCCTCTGCTGGAGTTGGAGGTGAATCAAGCTCATCCTCTATAGGCAGGGTTCTCTTTGACCCCTCCAATGCAACCCCAAGAACTATATTCTCTTCCAAGGAAGCTGATGTTTGTTTGGATGATTCAGATGATGTCGATTTCTCTACCTGTTTGGACTGAGAGCCGGTTGTTTTGTCATTAATAACATGAGTTTCAGTATTCAATGGTGGTAGTACATTCTCCGAATTCTTCGATGTGTTTTCAACGGAGCCTGCAGTTTTGGACTGTGAGCCTGCAGCATCCGTTGTGTCCTTTTCCAACTCCAAGATGGGCCTAGATGTAGAATTTCCAGTAGGCTTGCTATCAGCCTTCCAATCCATTTTGGAAGCCACAGAAGCCTTGTTTTCATCTTTCGATCTCGAATGCAAAGTCTCGCCCACTTTACCCTCAGCCTTGTTGCCATGTTTAACGTTTTCTTTCTTATCTAAGTCAGGTGCTGATGTTCCTTTGACTTTACTTTCGTCAGTCTTCTGTTCTCCTGGTGGCTGTCCTGTGCCACGACTGTCTTGCTCTCCGATTCCACGAACTGTACGAGCCTGAGATTTTGACTTATCTTCTCCATTTATCTTGTAAGGAGGTTCAATGAGAAGCATTTGGCTTTTTGACACGGGTCCACCACGAGTGAAAAATGAACTTGAAAATGACATGTTGTCCAAATCAGGCTCATTATAATACTTCTGTATAGTCCTAATTGGTGTGGCAAGTCGAGCCCTGTGATGGCTGACGACCCTCAAAAGATCCAACAATATACCTTCCTGCAACCCCAACCAACATAAGTACTCTGTCCATTCAGAAAATAGTCTAGCATTTACTACATATTTTTGGATATCCGGGGTAGTCTCAAATTTTGAAGTAGATAAATATATTTACCTTTTCATTTTTACATATATGCTTACTCAAATTCAATGGTGGAAATATGAGAAGAAAAAACTGTTTCAAAGAACAGTAAGAAAGATCTAGAGGAAAACTTAATTGTGAGGATTGAATAATGTACTCCCCTCCATCCCTATCACTTGCCTCCACATAAGCAGGTATCAACACTAACAGATACTCCCCATACACAATTACTTCCTATGAGCATGAATACTCGCCTATCCCTTAAGATTTATAATTTTGGCTTTGGCACAGATTCTACTGCCAAGGATAGTTATCAAATGTTAAAATAAAATTTAGTAACAAAAAGAGAGAAAAGTAATGTAAGAGGGAATGCAATGATAAATTGACAAGGGGATGATGTGATGGAGAGGAGAAGGGAAAGTTTACTTGAAATGGAAGTGTGACTTTATTTTTATTCTTTTTCGACAAACCAAAAGGATAAGACTGTAAGAGTGAAAATTATTAAGGGATGGAGAGAGTAGAATTTACTAACAGTCATATCTACTAACATAAGTCGAGTTATGTAGAAAATCAAAGCAAGTTTTTGAGTTTTTGTTGAAGAGAGTAAAAAAGACATGTATGGAGTTATGGACTACACATAAACATATGGGCAATCTCTAAAATTAAACTTATACGCTAGAAGTAACTTACTAAGTAAAAATTGAAACCCAAACATACCTTAACACACAAATACTCTTCATGGTGTGACGTCTTCACGAAACAGGAAATCAATATCTGTACCGTTGTAAGAAGAATTAGATAACTGAAATGGTTCTATAACTGACAAGGACGAAGTTTTGATACCAAAGGAAAAGTCCCATGTCCAATAAAAATAGTAGAATCTAAAATCTAGTGCAGAGCTATGACAAATTCAAAGAAACAACAATAAGTGACAAGCACTCACCAGAAGAGCTTGATTTTCAGGATTGATGTTTTCCAAAAATACTCTTCTATGAAGCTTTTGCTGTTCAACTTGAGGATTCTTGGCCAAGACTTTACGCATGTCTGCAACAATATTCTGTAAATTTTGAATGTGGAACATTGTAATCGTGTGAAAGATCAGTCCACTAGGTGTACCAAGACAATAATAGCAAGATTAGCAACACAAATATGATCAAGGTCACTTACATTAATTTTACTAACATCAAGGTGACTGATTGCAAGATGGGTTTTGATTCGCCAATGAGATTTTTGACTGAGATTTCTCACCACATTCACTGTGAACTTATGGTTAGGAATATGAACTGCCTCACGATCTTCCCCCCTTATAATTGTCGGTGACCACCACCCCACATGCTGTTGTATAAAGAACGTAGAGAGAGACAATCAATTGAAAGTAATTATGATGCATATACACTACTACAATCAGATATTCTAGCTAAATCCTTGCCCAAACTAATACAGCAACAACAACAGCAGCAAAGCCTTAGTCCCAAAATGAATTGGGATTGGCTAACATGAATCGCCATGAGGAACCATCCGAAATAGGAAAAGGAGCTTGCCCAGACTAATGACCAAAAAAAAAATATTCGCTAGTAGCACAACGTCAATGGAGTACATAGAGCAGTCTAAAATCAGAAAGCTATCTTCCTCCAGAACTCTTAATGTTTTTCCTAGAACCCGGGATGTAAGAGTATGGACCATTTATTAATGTTAGGATACAAACCTCAACAGTGCCCGAGACTTCATACCCTTCAATTTTTGTTTGAATCCATTCATTCAATACAAATGGTCGTGTAGCATGAATCATTATACTTGACAAGAAATTTGTAAATATCTGCAGATCAGGAACAGATTGAGATGGTTACTTCCACAGCTAAGTCAAAAGTTCTGTTTGCACTATAATGATGATTTTAACACCATTATGTAAAAATAAATCTACCAAAAAAAACTGTCACAACATACCTCACGTCCAGCAAGTGTCAGCAGCACAGTTCCAAGGCCTCCAGCAGTCATCCACTTCTGTGTAGAGAAACCCAACAGCTCTATGAACAATGAAACCGCTGCAACCCAAACTGCAGAGTATACAGCTTTCCCAGCAAATTGAAAACCCATCTGTAAAGGCATAGTGAGCTTCTATCAAGGGAACGTTGGCAATATCAACAAGGTAATATGACAACATCTAAAACAATGCAAAAGTATTGCAATTTCCAGCCTAAATTTAGAAGTCCAGTACAGGGAGAATGTAAATAACAGGGTTTAGTAAAGTTTATGCCATGTCACTTACCTATTGCCATACCATAAATAAAAGGAAATTCAAAGAAAAGATTGCACTGAGGTAACTAGTATGTTTTGCAACCATTTGTAAGCTCTAGCTATGTTGAACATAAATTATTTTTAGTAGAGACAATGTAAAGTGGAGACTGCGATAGACTACAAATATATAAAACAGTTTGTGTATGAATATGAAATTTTATCTCCTGCTGAAGGCAGATTGAAACTATATGCTTAGATTCATAGTATTTTTTTTAGTGCCTCAAAACAGCAAAGTGTTGGAACATACATTTCGTGCATCAGAGGGATCATTTGCCTCCATCAAGTATTTCTGAACTTGTTGAATCACACTGCATAATATCGATATTAAATTATCAATACCACAATACAATAAAAATAACATCAAAACTTCAATAAAAAGTTCCTGAAAATAGAGGCTCCACAAGACAAGTGAGAAGTGACAACTGACAAGCATACAGACTACACATAGTATCCATGGGTAGGGTTTGGAAAGATTAGAAGTATCATTTAAGTAGAAGTAGTGATGCCCTTAACTAGTCGATACCAGAAGATTAAGTTTACTTTCAAGAGAGAAAGGGAGGAGGGGGTGAGGAGGAGCATATAACAGGACTGTAGAGGAACGGTGTCAAATTAAGCACTGTGAAAGACTGACTTCAATATTTAGTCAAAAAACAGGCTATAGTCAAAACCTGGCCCTATCTCCACAGCAAGCAATATAAAAAGAAAAGGAAAAAAACCTTGACAAACAGTAGGCGAATGCCAGAACTGTTGAGAGTGACTTCACGAAACTCAGAGATCGTTGCTTGACAAGCTCGCTAGCTTCTGTAGGCATTACAATAGGATCCAAAGCCCTATACAGTGCAAAAGTTGTAATGAATAACCATCATCAAGAAGCACAATTAACCCATTAACAATGGATACAAATGAAACAAAATGTTACTTTATTAAAGACCAAAGGAAAATATTTGACACAAATAATACAGAACACTACAAATAAATTTAGAAAAGTGTAGCTAACAAGGACCTGCATATAAGAAATAAGCCAGTCCACAGCAACATGGGTTGCAGATAAGATGTCAAAACAAGGTTTGTTGTACTTTTCTTCCAAGTGCTGTCAGTTTTCTACATGTCAAAAAAAAAATTGGGCTATCAGGTAACAGGATGATGCAGGATGTATGTCTAAAATTGCAGAAACTTGTATTCTGCAGAGAAAATCCAGTCAAAACATAAGTATACCACAACAATGGCTCTAAATTCGTAAACTAGCATAAGCTTGTAAATTGAACCCAAAATTTCACTCACAACTAACATAAAGAACAGTTTTACTTCAAAAGCTTGATGTAGCAGACTGTAGGCAAGCATAAAAGCGCCTTACCTTTAAGAAAATATTTCTGCTCATTCGCATGAGTGGCCCCAAACCCCATAGAGTGAATATGATAATGCCAACAGCTGGAACCAATTTATTGAGAAGGGGACTAGCTTGTAAAGCATTGCATGACCTGCACGATAACCATGATTTTTAAAATAAAAAAAATATACATAGAATAAGAACACACCATTAACCCCACAAAATGGACAATGAGGGAGAAAGCAATCTAGCAATCATGGAAGCCTAGGATCTAAAGGGTAGGAATACTATTTAGTCCCTTGCAAAAAAAAAAAAAAAAAAAAAAAAAAAATAAAAAAATCCTTTCAGCTCTTAATGCCTTCTTATGGGAACAGCATTTACACCTATTAGGCTGTACATCTTCAAAATGGCAAATTTAAGTAAACAAAATATCATAACAATCTTGCTTTCAAGATCAAATGTACCCAAAATAATATTTTTCTTCTTTGATTTTCCACTCAGTGCAGGGAATGAGGGCATCAAAGTGCTTCCGTAGTCCACTAACCAAAAGTTTGACAAACAACAGCCTTATGCCCTTATCTGATCAAACTGAATCTTTACAGCATGACTCAAACTCAAATGACTCTAATTATATGCAAAGCCTAAAAGTTGCAGCAACCTTTGATCCTTACAACCCTCTTCAGGGAATTAAAAAAAAAAGGGTGGTGATGGAATTGGGGGAGTGGGGTTAAAAATGATGCAAAAGGCATAAACAGCTTGAAGAGCTTACCTTGTCAATGCCACAGAAGCAGTCTCCATGCTAGGAATTGAAACATTGTGACCCAAAAATAGAAAAGAATGGCATTTCAGGACACTGCACCTGTAAGGCAGGCTACATAGTGGTTTATTTACACTAGATGATAACCGATGTGTCCATGAATCTTGTCTCTGTTATTGAAAACAGAGAATAATAAGTAAGATGCAGATAAGCTATCAGACTTACATAATATTTCAGTTCACAATACTACTACAGATTACAGAGTGAAACAACACAAATCAATTGACCAAGAATCATTGCAGTCTCTCTAACCCTCTAACTAGTCAGTAAATTCAAACAATTATTTGACATTATAATTATTTTCATAAGCTTCCAACAACAACAGCCATAGGTGAAAGATAAAAACACACCAAAGTATTGTAACACAGCAATCCAACTTTAGCAGACCATTAAATCACTAATCAAACATTTAACATAGAGACATAAAAAGAAAAAGTATCGTTATATTGGGCGTGTTTCAACTAGAATACCTAATAATCATAAAATGTCATTACCTAAACATTCAACCAGTGGCATAATAACTATCCAAAAGACCAAAATCAACTCAACCAGCTACTAGTTTCGGCATTTTGATCACTACCCAAATTATATCACAAAATTTGCAGCTAAACCCTAATTCAATTGCTTAACAAAAATTAGCAATAATAACAAGAAATCAATGATATGAATAAGAATGAACTTACAGAAGCACATGAAGATAACGTACTGAAGAGCAAATGCTGATTCCCTCTTCCTGTAACATACTGAAACACCAATCATAAGCAACTTCATATCATAATTTTCAATAATTACAATCATACTAGCAAAATTTATCAAAAATTAAAGCTAATTACAACAATTAAAGTACCTTAAATTGTCTACTTCGCTCTTGGCTCTTGCAAATCCCCAATGAAGGAGATAATTGCAAGGAACCAGTAAGTGCCATTGTTTGTTTGATGATTGATACACTCAAAATTCGCCCAAAATCATAGCTCAATTTCAAATTCCACACTATTCAAACCGATAACGCCGAAACCCTAGAAATAAAATTAAAAAATTAAACGTCAACTCATTAAAAAAATTTCCATAATTTTAGTTGGGAAAATGATGAAAAATTAACAAATTAAACCTCAATTGAAGATAATTTGATGAAAATGAGCGAAGAATTAGGGTTAATTGTGAAAGTATCTTCTTCAATTAGCGTCGGATATTCGGATATAGTTGAGAAATAAAATGAAAAAAGAGGAGAGAGACGGGGAAAGTGAGAAGGGAGGTTAGAAATTCCGACAATTTGCACGGAAAATTTTATGAAAATAAAATCAAAAAATAAAAATTTGTGTCTGGGATTTTCCACGTGGAAAATTGTCTTGTTTGTGGTCGGTTATTGTTTGGCGTCTAGGTGAAGCAACCAAAGAGCTACTCCGTAATTGGTTAATGAGTTACGGTCTTACGGATTACGGAGTGATATGACGGAATTCACATGAACTTCTCGTGATCCTAATAAACTCCCAAATCTCATACTGAGTACGAGTAAGAATTTTGGGAATGTAGATGTAGTGCAATAGTGTATAGTAATGCACGAAAAACAATTGCCAATCTTCCAATTAAATATTTAATTATTATATCTTATCACAAATTTTCATAAATGACTTGTTACACCGTGTGGCTGGGGTTACTTATTCAGGAGCTACTTATTTTGGCTTACTCGGTCGTTCAAGCGTTAGGGGTTGTTCTTTTTAGCTTAATTTCAGTTCAGTTCAGTTCGGAAATTCAAAACAGACCCTTTAGTTTCACACGAAAAACACGTTAACCGACCGAGTAATCCCAAAATAAGTAAACCTTGACCGATTAGGTAACCTCTATATAGTAACGCATGGTACACGGTGTAGCCAATCACATAGAAAAACATGTGTAAGTGGTTGGTTGAAAAGACAAATAATAAACTATTTGTGAATGTGAAGTTAGTGAGCGAGATATAATAAAATAATAGATCTTTGATAAATGTTACAGTTATTATGACATATGCTGCGCACATAAAAAGAAAGTTTTACAATTATTACAAAACGGATGAAATATGAAGTATGTAGTGTATATACAAGAGAGTGGATAGATATATTTAATTCAAATAATTTTTTTATAAAATTTTAGCTCAAATTCTTTTATATGACGTGGTCAGTTCACAAATTCACATTTAACTATATAAACATTAAGGGTTTGGTCCCGTAGACTGAACTCAGCTAAATTGAACTGAACTGAGCTGAGCTGAACTGAACTGAAATGAATATTTTATAAGAAAAGGAAATTAGGAAATGAAGTGAACTGAAAATAAACGTATGAGAACATGCCCTAAATTACACATAATTATTTTTAACAAGCACACGAATTCTTATATGTGGTCAGTCATTATAGTCCCATAATGACTACTTCATTAATATTATAGCCCTTATAAGGTTATGTCATTGATATAAGATTATTTTTTACAATGGCCACATGGGTCAGTCGCATACAAAATGTGTAGCTAAGTTAAATAATGTGGTTTAGGAATTAGGATAATGATCAAATGAGGTGATGGTTTGACATATGAGACCCTTTATGGTTAGGGTATGTTCTTTTCAACTTGTTTCATGTACTTATTACATATTTTTTAATTAATAAATTCAGATTAGACCAGCCCAAACCAGAAACATTAAGATTAGAACTTTTAATTATCATTTATTTATTGCTAAATATTGTTAACTGCGTATTACAAAAAATTATGAAAATTACATATTTGAAATTTTTATAATGAAACAAATTTAATAAGATCCATTTTAAATTTTTGATATTAAATCAGATCAGACCACATCAGATACAAAAAAAATATTAAAATCAGACCAAATCTCCTTGTTTCCGCTTTTTAAGTGAAGAGAACAAGTTCTTACTTTAATTTTTTTGGGTTAATTTTAAAATAAAAAATATCGAAGTATAAAAAAGAAAAAAAAAAGTCGCGGGAATACAAAGGAAACAGTACGCCAAATTGCCAGAAGATTCATTCACCCCCATTACAAAGAAGGGAGGAGAGAGAATATGGCAGAGCAGCGGGAAGAAGAAATGGAGGAACTGCAGAAAGTGAAGTCTGAAGCAGCTCAGATCATCAATGGCTGTCCGATTCTTCCTCTTCTCATCGTCTTTGATCTCGATTATACTCTCTGGCCATTCTTCTGGTATATTCGATCATCTTCTCCATTTCGCATCATTTTTTTTCATAATTTATACTTGTTTTTGTTACTAAATTCACTTATTTTACGGAAATTACATGCACTTGAATAATTGAGGATGTTTGATTGAATTATCTGTCAATTGTGATTTAATTGGTTGATTACTGTTAATTACTGTTGAATTTATCAGCATTTTATTGAATGTAATGACTAAATTCACTTATCTTACGGAAATTACATGCACTTGAATGATTGAGGATGTTTGATTGAATTATCTGTCAATTGTGATTTAATTGGTTGATTACTATTAATTACTGTTGAATTTATCAGCATTTTATTGTATGTAATGAAAATTGACTACTTACAGTAGTTGATTTTCTGCTGTTACTGAGAACTGAGAGGAAACCCTGCTAAAATGTAGCCAAATTCGCTGTTGGAACTCGGAACATTGGTTGACTCATAGGTCTTACGTGTACATTGTAAAGTAAATTTATCTTGATGTCACTAAATTTTCAAGCATTAGTGTTAAATCCACTGATTTGCAAGGAGAATGAAATTTTGTTAGTCAAAATGATAATAATGTTAACAAATCCCTTACGAATGTACTCACGAATAAGAAATTAAAAGTAGCTTTTAAGTAGAATTACTAAACTATAGTAACAACGATCGATGAGTGATGATTTTAATAATAAATTTTTGCCTTAGTACTCCGTATTGTGGAAACACAGTAATAGCTTTCTAGAACAATGATTCTGTGAATAGAAGAATCCAGAAAAAGCTCTACTGATTTGTAGCTCAAATTGTGGCGGATTAGAAAGTAGCTGGTGTATCAATTGATGGTTGAGCCTAATTGACAGTGTTTCAGTTTCAGTCTAAAAGGTGTATTAGGGTTCAATTTCACTATTCTCTAGAGTTCCATGCTTCTTAGGCGTGTATTGAACTTGCACCTGTAACCCATGCTCAACAAGGTTTTAAATTATTAATAGAAAAAGAAAAAGATCCCCTTATCGTCAAGTAGTAGAGTGAGACTAATAAAAAAGGGTAAAGATAAACTAATTCAGATGTGGTGCTAGAACTTCTCTTGTTTATAAACTTCTAATTCCATGTAGTTTACACAGGCTGTATAGGGTGTAATCATCTAATTTTGTTTTGAATCATTTCCGACAAAATAAGTTCAAATAAGACCAGATTGTTTATATAAGTTCAGACACTCACAAATTCAAATATATTTAAGAGAGGATTCCCTTGATATATCAAAGCTCAAAATTATTGTCAGGGAAGTGTCCTAGATAGTAAGAGGTAAGTCTAATTTTAGCCTTCGCACACTTTTGTATGTGAGTTATTTTCTGTGGTAATTTCTGGAAGAAATGCATAATTGATACATTCTCTGCTTGTCAGTTGTGATTATTAGCTCATTTTGGTGTTAATCATCTTTGCACTTGCATGCTTTCCCATTTTCTTCTTACTACAAATGAAATAGAAATCTTGTCATTTGACAGTGAGTGCTATGATGAGGATGACATGCCGTGGCTTTACCCTCAAGCTAGAGGCATACTATGTGCTCTGAAGGATAGAGGAATTGAAATGGCCATTGCCTCTAGATCACCAGCTTCGGATGTAGCTAAAGCTTTTTTAGCTAAATTGGGCATCGAATCTATGTTTGTAGCGCAGGTCAGGCATGCAAAACTTCAATTATAATTTTTGTGATTACATCCCTTTCTTCCTCTGATTGAGGCCATTATACATTTCTAACTGAAAAGAATATCTTTCATTGTACTCTATTTCTTGTCCATTATTAATTATACCCATATACCATTAACCCCTTGGAAAGTTGGAATGTAATTGTGTCTGACCTTCTGTTCACTGGACTTCTTTCGTTGGGTTTTTAAGGGTAAGGCCGCATAATTGTGTCCCATTAACCTGAATTGAGTAGGATTAGATGCATTGGGGTTGAGGTGTTGACTTTGTGTAAGCCGTAAAAACTTCAGCATATGTATTTTGCCAATATGCAGGAAATCTACTCCAGCTGGAGTGCTGGACACACAAGACAGAACACTTTCAGAGGATACATGACAGGACTGGGACACAATTTGACTTGATGCTTTTCTTTGATGATGAGAATAGGAATATTGAAGCGGTATGTGTCCTTATTAACATGATTCTCTGTAAACGATTGCTCTTTTGGAACCATTATATCAGTTCTAAATGTCATGATTTATAAGACTTGTATAGCTTTCGAAGACAGATAGCAGCAAGCTGAAAATTAACATGCCTGAATTCTCTTATGAGAATTGCAGATCACAAAAATGGGTGTAACATGCATTTTGGTGAATAGAGGATTGAACCTAGAGGCATTAAGGCAAGGGCTCACAAACTTCTCTCAGAAATCCCTAGGCATGAATGGCAAAGATTGAGTTGTACAAGTATAACTCCTCTTTTTTTCCTTGGAATCTTATGATTGGTGTATGATTTGACTTGTATAGCAATGGTAACTATAGGAATCTGTTTCACCTTGCTACTGTAACACACAGATACACATTATAATTCCGTTACTGAACATTTGATGGTTGGTCCATTGCATCAAATTGAAGTTGATTATGTCATTGAAAAAATTTGTTTGTACAAGGATGAAATCAGATGAGGAAAAAAGAAACTAAAAAGGCAAAACTAATAAAAGCATTACAATGCACACAAAAAGAATCGGATACTTCTCCATCTAAGCAATGGGAGTAATTAATGAAAAAGAAATGTCAGGAGTGGTGACTTGACGAAATGTTCCTCATTTACAAGTCAAGTGATTACAGTAGTTGTTCTTCTAGATTATCTCCTAGTTAAGCTCTCTGAACGGCGATCTTCCCTCAATGAGGGATTCGCTTGTCTTTCTCAAGTGAGAATGTCGCTGACTTGCATTCTCTTTTGAGGCACAAATATCTTCACCTTCAAGACTTATTCTTATTTTGTTATCATCGAATCCTTGAACTACCATTCTTTCATGCATTTCTGCAGGTTCCATGTCTTCTTGCGAACTCTGATCAAATGAGTAGTCTCTCTCTTCCATGATATGTACAACTACGGCTTCTTCAAGTTCTCTTGCCAGTAATTCCAGTTGTAGTTGTTCATCTTCCAACTGCATCCTTGGTGATACTTTTTCGTCCTCTTCAGTGGTATCATCCTCTTCTATTCTAATCTCTTGGTCCATCAAATATATCTGCTGCTCAAGGTTACCTATTCTTCTGTCCTTCTCTTCTGTGTCTATCTTAAGCATTTCCTCAACCTCTGCTTGTTCAAGCAAGGATAATTCTAAATCTCTGCGCATTGCCTGGCCTTTTATAACCTGCATTTCGAGGTGCGCTGCTATGGATATCCAATCTTGTAACTCATATTCAAGTCCATTCCTCTCATTAGTCTGGTCTGTCAACTCAGAATCAATCACATCTAAAGCTTCGCGCAATTCTTCTAGCTCTTCTCTTAGTTTATCAAGGTCCTCCTGCATTCCAAGCTTTTCCCCCCGTATCTTCTCTAACTGCTCCATCAATTGTGCTGTACCACACTCTGTGTTTTCCGAACCTTCTGATTGCATCAACTGCAACATTAAAGACAGTTCTTCATTCTGCATCTTCAACTGTGTTAATGAAGAATTGCAGCCTTCTAGTTCCTTCTTCAGCTCTTCTATGACTTGATCTTTACTCTTCAAGTTAGAACTACACCGTTCAAGCTCTCTATCCATTCTATCAGCTTTAGAACTCCATTCAGCTTCCTTAGCCTTAAGATTAGCTGAACATTCTTTGTGGCTGAGCTCCAACGATTTCAGTCTCGTCTTGAGCTTAGCCCACGAGGATGAAGTTGGAATTGCTCTCGGTATATGAGCTTCCTGGAGCTCTTTAATAGAGGTCAGGAGTTCCTGATTCTCTTTCTCCAGTTTATTAGCCTTGTATTCCATATCCTTCAAGTCCATCTCCTTCACACGCAACGAATGCCTCAGATTCGCCACTTCCTCCTCGCCATTCTCCACAGCTAAGCACCCCCCCTCCATCTTCCCTCCAAAACCCTCGCGTGCCACACTTTCCAATGACAATTTCATTTCAGAAACTTGCTCTTCCAGCTTTTTCCTCCGGCTTTCTTCATTCTCCAAGGCTTGCTTGCACATTGCTAATTGATATTTAAGCCCTTCTGCAGCCCGGTTTTCATCATCAAAGCTTTCCTGCAGCTTCGATATCTCATCAACCAACGATGATTTCTCAGTCTCCCATTCTGTTTTACTCGTACGAAACTGATCTCGAAGCTTCTCATACGCTTCCTCAAGATGCTTAAACTGCTCCACCTTCCATTTGAGCTCATCTTCCACCTTTCTGTGTCTCTCAACTAACTCTTCTAACAAATCACCTTCCTGATTGTTTACAGGTGATTTGACATCCTCCTTTTCTTTCTTCTGCAGCTCCGAAACGAGCGTTTTGAGCGTTTTCGTTTCATCCCATTGCGTTTTTATGATGTAATCTTTATCCTCCAAGCTACATTTAAGCCTCTCAATCTCCGCTTTCGCCTCTTCTAGCTCTTTCCCCATCTATCTTACAAATCTCTGTTTTAAGAATTCAATAACCTGACCTGAGAACAATTATGAAACCCAATTTTCTCATTCAATCCTTCTAATTTCAACCCAAACATATAAATTTGAATCTACAATTAATTGATCTGAAAACTTCTGAGATCATCTATTTTTAGCTACTCTTATAAGAATCTTTGATACCCATTAATCAGGAAACTTAAATGTAATTTACAGTACCATATATTATGGTGATTTATCAAATTAATCATGCTTATAAATCATAAATTCTAGGTACGCATTATTGAAAATTACACGATTAATTGGCTTTCGCCGAAAAACCAAAAGGAATTAAAAGAAGAGGAAATTGTTACGAACCTTAAGGCTTGATCATTCAACAATATTTACAAAATGCAATTTCTTCTTAATTCTGATTCTTGCTAATTCTTTGATCAAAATTTACAGAAACAGGGGAGGGTAAAAAAAATTTAAAATAAAAATAAAATCAGGGTTGTTTATTTTTGGAATTAATTGACGGAAGTGGGTTATGTTTTTTTTGTAGATGAAATAAAGAGAGATAAAGAGAAATTAATGAAAAAGTAGAACAAGAAAGAGAGAATCCAGAGAAAATCAAGTCGTTAAAAATAGCCGTTAAGATTATGGAGGAAGAGGCTTCAGGGGTTTGAAATTTTCTGTTTCTTTTTGTTTGGATCCGTTGTTACACAACACTACTAGCCGTTAGCTGTTGTTGGGTGGGCCAAATTTATTTTGGGCCAAACAATTAATCTTTATGGGCCATTTGGGCCCTTTATATACAACTACTAATGGGCCAGAATAGTCTATCTTTATCTAGTCGATCATCAATTCATCATTTCCATTGACTTATTGTTAATATATGCCACTAATAGTAATATGTGTTATGAAATATTTGTGGATATCCATTATCATCATTTGTATCATTCCGGAACAATCTAGATCTAGGGTTTATATTCTTATCCATTCAAACCCTAATATATTGTATTTATATATACCCCATTATATGGAATAGAAATACACTGATATATTCTCTATCAATCTCTCTTATATTTCTCTCTATTTTATAACACGTTATTAGCACCAGCCCTACCTGATTGAGCAAATAAATTAGCATCATTAAGGTTAGTGTTTATTTTAATTTTTCTATGAAATATAAGCAACGATCACGTAATATATTATAAATCATATACGATTGTTTTGGGTCAAGGTGTTTCATCATTAGGTGATTATATATTATGGCTTGACTTGTTAATTGTGTGCGTGGGATCGGTTGATTAATTTATTTATTTATTTATTTTTGTGAATGTATTTTCGTGAAATTGAAGTTTACCATATCAATCAATAATACAGAATATATATGCTTGTGATCATGCATGTGATTTTTCTACCATACTTCATACCATTAGGTTCTTTATATGGGTTATTTCAAAGTCTTTCATTTAGTTTTTGTTCTACTTCTATTTATACTCTATATCAACCTTTTGCATCTGTTTTGTTTTTCTTTGGCCATACTGAAATTATTTACATGATTATCATGTTTTGGCAAGGGCTAATTTGTTTACACTTGGTTGAGTTTCCCAGAATTAAATAAATTGGATGTTTGAATTACATCCATTAATGAATATTATTATATTATAATCTCTATTTTGTGACTTATTCTTTGTGAATTTATTATGTTTTCTATTATTTGATATTTATGTTTAGAACCCATTCCGTCAATACTGCTATAGAATTTGTTGATCTAAATATCAATCCCTAATCACTGCTATAGAGTATGTGCCAAGTTTATTTTTTTTAGGATATGAATAACATACATTATTATTGAGTAATATGCTTCAATAGGCGTTGGTTAGTGAACTAATTAGTTCCTTAAGTTTCTGAATTAGTTGCAAGGTTCTAGTATGAGTCAACAATAAGATAAATGTTAGTGGATTTATTTCTTTTAGGCATTTTTCTTTTCTTTGTTAGTGGAGTCATGCTCCTATTATTAAGCTTTTAGTTGGCCTAATTTTAGCTTTGTTTGTTTTGTGATATTGGCCTGTATAAGGCATCGAGGTTAACTTAATTAAACACGAAGCATTATCCTTCTCCTACTATATTATACTTTGCTCTGCCCTCTGTATTCCAACAATTATATTAACAAAGATACTTATCTTTTTTGAATTCATTATTAAATTAATTATTATGGATGTTATGCTATGATTCTGTATGACTATAATTTTATTATCTTACTAGAATTTATAATATTCTCTTTTATAGCAATTTATGTCGAACCTGACGAAACTTGAATTTGAGGCCCTTGATGTCATCGAAATGAACTATTGTTTGATTATATTTAATGATTGCTAGCAATTTGAAGCATATTATATACAATCTTAGTTTTTCATTTTTCTTGGTATGAGGTACATATATTGCAGAAATATACTGCATATTTAGCTACTTGAAGAGGATAAATTTAATTAAAGTTTGTATACTAATTTTTTAATAACTAATTCAATTATCTGGTGATTGTGATGATATTAGTTGTACAATTAGTGAATTTACGTATAAAAGCATGATGTTATATTTTAATAATTACATGAATAGTTATTGTTTATCACAAATCATGCTAGTTTTTATTTAAATAGTGAATTTAAACTATAGTCTGTATTGTGATGAGCTAACGATAATGACTATATCATGGATATCGATAACTTCCTATGATATAGGTAAGACAATAAAGTAGTGTACTACTATTAACTTACAGGTTAATTCTCTATAATGGCATGCATATTCGTCTCAAAATTTATATTATGTTGATAATATTAACTTGGTATCATGATCATATACTAATATCCTTATAAGTTGATAATATTATGAATCATATTATGTTGATTGATGTGTGATTAGATTCAATTATTGTATTATGTGCCTACTTGAAAATTGGATTATTGGAATGAAATTAAATTGAAAATGATGTATGGACTTGAAGTTCCTTAATTAATTAAATATATAGCAAAATGTGTGTTATGAGTTCAAGTAATTAAACATGATATTGTGAGAAACCATACATAATCAACGTTTTATTATGCCCATAAATATAAGAGGTTTTGTTTTTTTTTAAGATGAATGTAATTGGGCATGAGGAACATGATAAGTGTTCTATAAGTATAATTTTATATAAGCATATTTTTGCTAAAAGGAACACGTTACTTGATACATGACATTGGCAAAAGAATTTATGGCTTAAAAGTTGCAAGGATTTTAAAGGTTGTTAGATTGATTCATTCCATACCCCTATATGCAAGGATTAGGGGAAGATTGTATGTAATCCTTGCATATAAATAACAAAATATATTGATGGTCAGTTTGATACATACAATAACTTAAATATCAGCGATTTATTTAATAGAAGTGGCCACATGTTAATTAAATATTTTGAAATGATACCATCCTGAAGATGGATATATTATCATATACTAGTTGTAAATGCTCTAATTTAAAATTGATGTCCTAAGAGTACAACATCAATTGTTGATGAACCTATAGCATGCCTGAAACGTGATAAATCAATAGGTTCTAAAGATAATTAAGTATCTTTGAAAAGGAAATGAGTCACTATTGACAATGACAAATTTGAGGAAGTGGTAAATATCATTACATTTCTAGAAGAAATCACTTTTAGTGAAGTTCATATGTTTCATGATTATATAAAAGACTCTAGAAGAGTATAAAATATCCAACAAAATTAACATGTATCAAGTTTATAGTTTAAACTCTAGTAGAGTATGAGTAATTATTGGATGAAATATTAATTGATTGTCTTGCCAATTGTATAAAGAAACACATGTTGGTGTTCTAATATCACATCACATTCATGGCCATGCATATAGTAAGTTTAATAAAGTGATCACTAGTGTTGAAAACTGACCAGAGTTCAAATTTAGAGAAGTGATTGGATGTGATAATTAAATTAGGCCATCCGGGTTTAATAATAATTACCCATAATGGAAACCTGAAGTTTTAATTGATAATGTGCTGACGCTTTCTCAATGTTAAATATATAAAATGAATTGAATGGCAAGACGTAACATTGAGATTGAGTTATATTTGAATTGTGAGTTATTATAATTTGTATTGATGAAAATTTCAAGATTTAATATATTTTGATTTTTTATAAAGGAGTAATGGCTGATAAAGGAGTTATGGCTGACCAGAAGTTCACCAAAATAACTTATATATTATTGTCAACTATCAAGTGATCAGAAGCTCACCAAATACACTATTTAAGTCTTTAAAGATCCTGAAGATCATCACCTACTAGAATTACGAGCAAGTGATTTACGCTTGTATAACAATTCTTTTGATTGGGGCTATTATATGTCAGCACATATGAAATAGGAGAAGAAAGAAAAACGTACAACTGCACAACATATGTCTCCCCATTGACATTGATCCCTAGAAGAGAAAATATTATTGAAAATTTAATAATAAATACACTTGAAATATAAAGTTAATGAATAAATGATTCTTCATCAAAATTGTTCTCCGGAAGAGATAAATTTTGATTGTGATCCTCCTAATGAAATGAATTTTGATGCAAATTTATATACTAAGTTGGTATAAAAGAGATATTTTACCAACTTAGGGGGAGAAGAAATAGCAAAAGTTGGGAAAATCGAAAAAAAAAATCAAATAAATAAAGAATATTTATGTTCCCTATAATGGTAGTTTGAAAAGTTATATATATGCCAACTTTTGTATATATATTATCAAGATATGTTGCACATTTATGATTTGATTTGTATTCAGTTATGACTCATGTTTCATAGTGTTGAAGATACATTTTGGTCATATTAATTATGTGTATACATTGAGATAAAATCTTGCCAATTGTACTTGAATCACTACACCTGAAGTGTAGGTTGTATATGATCGGTTCCAAAATAAAGATATGTTTAATAGATATGATATTTGGCAAGATAGTGCAGTTGACACTAACAGTGTAATAGTATATAAATACCATAGTGTATGAAATAACCTTAAATTGGTATAGATATCTGAATTATTATAATAGATGGTCTATGATGTAAGAAAAGTTATGATGGTACCAATGAGATTGTATTCAGATATCATAGTAAAATAGCATGCGGAATGTAAGTTACAGGAATTTTATGATATCGGTACATAATGGAACCGATGAATAATATGCATATGCATAGTGGAATGGACTAATAAGTAAGGGATCTAAAATATATGTACATTTTGATGTCGACATAATGATAATGATCATAAGTTTATCATGGACCCGTAGTCCAATGAAATATGGATTTTTAAATCCACACTGTACAATGTCTTGCATCATTTTGAGTCTTATATTCATGTGCATGTGAGTAATAGGTTAATTGTTTATTGCATATGTAGGAAGTTAGATGCATTACTCATTGTATAATTTGTTTATATGTTATTATGTTTTATATATCTCATATTGCATGGATTAATTTCTTACAATGGTTGTGGTGTATGTGAATGTTCATTCAAAGTATAGTAAGACATATTTACAACTTTGATGAAAAATTAGAAAGAGATATTTATATTCCAATGGGCTTATAATTGTAATGAAAAATTGATGACACTTACTTAATAACATGTTATGAATCATGTAAAAGAAGTTCCTGAAGAACTTATATACGACGTATTAAATGCCCAACCCTACAAATTTTTATGTCTTGAATATTGCAATTATTATCAAACTCTTGAAAAGTCTATGTGACTACATTATTGACATCTCAACCTGAAGTTTGAGCATATGAGAGTTAGTAAGATTTACTATTTGTATTTACAAGAGAGCTATCATGTCAATCACGAAACATCTAAATAATATCAATGGAATACTTATGCGCGAGAATGTTTTTTCATGGTTTAGAAGAACCATGATTAGCATACATAATTACATGTGTTATATTATTAATTCATACAAGATTGAAGAACAACATTAATATTAGCATGTGTTGCCATATACGTAGTAATTATTAAGAAATGTTTGATCAAATAATGATCATCAATTTCTATTATTCATGGCCTATAGAAGAAGGCATAAAGTATAATGGATAAGGCAAATTTAAACAAAGATTTCAAATGAAATGTGGACAAACACATGTCTTATTATCATAAGTATGGTGATATGAAGACTCACTTGCTCGTGTGAAGATGTGAAGATTTAGGAGGATCAAAGATCAAAGAATGATACTTTTCTGCGCCATGTGAGAAAATACTCAACTATATTGGATTCATTGTTGCGACACTAGAAGATCTCAAGTTATGTATTCATCAGGGGGAGAAAATACGCGCTGCACTCTTTTTCCCTTGACCATGGTTTTGTCCCAAATTGGGTTTTCCTGGTAAGGTTTTTAATGAGGCAGCATCTCGAGCGTATTACGAAGAATGATGTACTCTCTTTCCTTCACTAAGTTTTTATCCCACGGGGTTTTTCGTAGTAAGGTTTTAATGAGGCACAATCTTCAATAATGGACATCCAAGGGGGAGTGTTATGAAATATTTGTGGATATCCATTATCATCATTTGTATCATTCCGGAACAATTTAGATCTAGGGTTTATATTCTTATCCATTCAAACCCTAATATATTGTATTTATATATACCCCATTATATGGAATAGAAATACACTGATATATTCTCTATCAATCTCTCTTATATTTCTCTCTATTTTATAACAATATGCCAATTAACTTATTGTTTGCCTAGTGTAATGTAAAGGAAGGAACCATTGAGCTTCAAATTCAATCTCCTGGGCACTTTGAGAGTAGAGACCCCCAAACTTTCTAATACGCTAACCCGGTACTCTGATAGGGTTGACCTTTAAAAGGTTTTAGATTGGTGTACCTTAATCTCAAATCGTGAGCGTACAATACCTTAATCTCAAATCGTGAGCGTACAATATATATATATAGGTGTTATGCACAAAGAATTATTCTTTGGTCTTTTCATCTTAGGGTAGAATTATTCTTTGGTCTTTTCATCTTAGGCCCCGTTTGGTTTAATGTAAAACATTTTCAATGAAAAATTAGTTTTCATGGAAAACATATTTTCAAGGAAAAACACAATTGCAAATTAGTTTTTCTTTGTTTGGTTGCATACAAGAAAAGTCCAAGAAAAATAAAAATTAAGAGTGGAAATGTAAGGATGAATGAGAGGGAAGTAAAAAAAAGAGGTAAGGAGGAGAGAGGAAAATGTGGCTTCCCTTGTCTTGGGAAGGAAAATGTTTTCCGTCATTAAGGATGGAATTTTCCACCCTTGGAAAAATTATTTTCCACCCCTTAACAAACCAAACAAAGAAAAATGGGAAAAAATGGAAAATTCATTTTCCATGAAAACCTTTTACATCAAACCAAACATGGCCTTAGGGTCATTAGGTGATTCGGATCTCTAAGCCAGAATCGCCAAATATTTTGACTTGCACAATGCTACAAGCCTACAACCAACAAGCTTGCTCTGATGACGTTAGATTAATGTCTTAATCTTGCATTTAAAAGTGAAAATTTTCTATCATGAAACAGTGTTAATTCGGCTTTGATGTGAAGTGCAATTGAGTCAACCTTTCTAACTTATACAACTTTTTTTTATTTGTAATTCTGTAAATGTATATTGGAAGCCACATATGGCTTATCTTTTCGACTTTTCCCCATATACAACTTGCAAAACATAAACTTGTATTAATGCTCTATTTTTGGCTTTCTTGGGGGTTTATCAAAAGTGCATTAAAATGACATACTTCCTCAATTTTATTTTATTTATTTATTATTTTTATTTTTATTTATTTATTTATTTATTTTGTGGCTTTCTTGAGAGTTTATTAAAATGACACACTTCCACAAATTTATTGGTAAGGTCCTAAGTACTTCCTCCATTATTAACTAATTATTTCATAGTGTTTTACTTTTATAACATCAAAAATTGAATTGTTAGTATTATTTTTAGTCATCAATAAATAAAAATATAAAAGTGAAGTTTAAGAATATTTATTACAAATCTAATACTTCTTCGTAATATTTTTAAATACTAGGGAGTACATATAAAATGATAACTAAAGACTAGATAAATGGCATACACACATTAAGTTAAAGAAAAGAATATCTTGCAACGATAGATATAAAAGGTAGCAAATCTAGTTCGGCCTATTCAGATGAAACACGATAAAATGAAAATCAATACCCAATTAAATTTTACTAGAAGTACATATATGACTCCTTGATTATATTGAAAGGTGCCTTAGCTTCTTCCTTACTACTTTGCCTTCTTACAAAGATAACTCAAAAAAATATGCCAAAAAAATAAATAAAGGTCATTTCTTTTGATGACCCAAAATGCACATGGATATGGAAGACTTTGAAGTTTCGAGTGGAGGAAACTAAGATTTGTGAATAAAGTTGGGTTCAGGGTGATGGCAACAATATACCAATAAATAAGGCAAATGGTCCAGAGTATATTTTGCTTTTTTATGGATTGGATTTGTCATTATCTTAATTATTAATTGACTAACCAAAGTAGGTTAACCTTTTCATCACAAAGTAAGCAATTGGGCATATTTGATTATTTGGTTTTAATCAACTAATAAATATTCTCTTAAACAATAATTTGTCAAACATAAATGGGCCAATATTATGTTTTGTTGCAATTCGCACGATCGGTAGGGATAGAGTATTGGTCTATTGGATGGTTGAAAATCAACTTTTTTTTTTCTTTTTCCTTTTCTTTTTCTTTAATGTTTGTTGTAAAGATATGAAAAAAATGCCAAAAGATTCCACCAAAGAAGGGAGTTGAATTCAAATATTTTCTAACTCGTTGAGAAAGTATATTGTATCACAGTTTATATTAGCATATTTCATCATCTATTTTTCAGTGATCATGAAATTAATTAGATTGCGATCAAATCATGAATTATAGAGCTTCAACAATCAGATTGAGTTTTTTTTTGTTGAGTTGTGGTCCTTTAATAGTAGCATGGTAATAATATTACTAGTTCAAATCTCATACATCTTTCATTTTAAGTATAATGTCAAAAACACTGGGTATGATGTATTCACGTTTCAAATTCAAAGTTTAAACCAATTCTAAGTTTCAATCATCAATTTATTTATTTATTTATTTATTTTTTGTTGAAATTGTCCTCTAACAATGAACTCTCGACTTTGACCATCTTATACGAAGAGTCTATGAGCAAAGTTTGTTAATCTTATGAAATTACAATTTCAACGTAAAGTATTCCGTACATTCCATTATTAGTGGTCTTACCCTAAACTTGGGTTTAAACTTTAATTGGAGGGATAAGGAATTAAAGCAAAGCATAACAAATTGCCGTGATTGTTGACAACTTTGTGTGTCAATTTGTAGGTGTGTGGAGCCTAATCTCTAGAAAATGACATAATAGGGTAACTAGTAACTACATATAACTTGTATTGTGTAAATTTGTCAAATTTGATTGCATTGAGTAACTTGTAGTAATCTTGGAATAATTTGTTGTAAGATACAAACCTTATTTTAGATCGAAATGCTTATTGAACACGACTTATTAAGTTTTTTTTACACGAACACAAACCACAAATTTATTACTCAAGAAAGAAAAAAAATCAGTAAACCACAAATTATCATCCACAAAGAAAGAAAACCAGTAAATTAAACCACAAATCAATCAATAAAAAGATGGATAGAGAAGCAATTGTATGCCACGCGTCTTTTTGCTGAGCACACATATTCAATGATTGGCCTCCTCAAGTTGCCATGTCATTATCCACTCAAATAGAATTTGCCATGTCATTACAATATTATCCGTTTTTTATACGTGCTAATTTAAAAATAAACGGTATAGTTTTAACAATGATGATATGATGAACCAAAGTATTACTCCGTAATATGGTGATGAACAAAATAACATAAGTTTTGGGTACAATAATCATGTTATTTTTGTTTGATCTGATTTCGTTACACAGCGAATAAAGTATTTACAATCGCTACGAGTTTTTTATTTTTTTTTTAAAGTACAATATTAATCTGAACTCACAATTTATCAAATTGATTAATGTATATATTACCTCCATTTTATATAATATGCAACGATGATTAAATATTACCTATTCCCTTTATGTCAAATTGTTGTAAATAATACTTCCTCTATTTTCTTTTAATTGCAACACTTCCCTAAAAAGAAAATGTCACAATACTTGCAACACACTATAAAAGGAAAGTTACTTTAGGGAAAAACTGTACTATATTCCTTATTTAAAGCACATGACCCACTAAATTACACTTCTAACAACCACTCATCCTATTTTAAAGTTTATTATATCATGTAAACCCCACATTTCTTAATTACCGCGCTAAAGGGTGTGTTGCATCTAAAAGAAAACGGAACAAGTATGAAATAGAAGTAGCATTAAGAATAATATAATTCATGAAACTAATATGGTTAAAATTAATGATTTACTACATACAAGTATTTGTTATCAAATCCATTGACGACTTTAATGCTCCGTATTATCATGATTATTATAATTATAACTAATTGACAATTCATTGTATGGCTTAAAAACACATAAATAAGGGCCTGTTCATATTTACTTATTTTCAGTTCAGTTCAGTTCAATTCCAGTCAGTTCAGTTCAGTTCAGCTCTAATCAGTTCAGTTCAGTTCAGCTCTTAATTTTCCTCTCTCATAAAATATTCATTTTATCTTAGTTCAGTTCAGTTCAGCTCCAATCAGTTCAGTTCTGTTCAGTTCAGTTCATCTCAGTTCAGTAAATATAAACAAGCCCTAATTTTATGTTAGAGAAACCGAACACACCCTTAATATTACTCTGTATTAACATGAACGTCTTTATTTTAAAGTATCAATATATGTACCATGTACATTGCACAGGATTGAACACTAATTCATCTTTCAATATTACCCATAAATAAAAATAAAAATACAAAAAAATCTTAAAACAACGGAAAACAATTTGGGCCCTATTGGAGTATATTAAGGCTTAAACTTGCTCTCTCACTCCACCAGAATTTGTCAGTTGACAACATCCTTTCTTTGAGGAAGAGAGTTTGAGAGAGGGTTAATTATGGTAGGGTTGGAATTTTCCAGAAATTTGGTTCTCGAAATTTGAACTCAGTTTAGGATTACTACTCTTCTTTCTGACTCAATTTCTTCTTCAAAATTCTGGGGTTTTGTTTTTCAGTGTTTTTCATCATTTGATGTTGCTCAGATTTCTGGGTTTCTCCGATTTTTATCCAAACCCCTTGTTAATCTCTCCAATTTATCATTCTTTGATTGAATAAACAATTCTTGTTTCTGGGGATTTTTCCTTTTGATTTAATTTTGTACGATTATTTTAATGTAATTTTTTGTTTTTGTTTTTTCTTCTGCAGTTATATTTGTCTCTCTTTATTTTCTAAATTTGATAACTTATGCTTGCTGGGTACACTCATGTGTTGTAAATTATTGCCATGGTGTTGCCATAATTAGAAATTTTTGTCAGTTAAAAAACCAAAAAAAAAAAAGAGGGTCAGTAATTGATGAATTATTTGCAACTAGTTTCATCATGACTTGGATGTAACGGGGTTTTCGCTTTTTTCTGGTAAAAAAAATTCATATATGTTTGGAGTTTGAAGTGATTGGTTTCCAATTTGTGAGAAATCTATATGAAATTTCAGGTGAAAGCTTTAAGCTTTGAGAGGTTGAAGGAGATATTCCTCACCATATTCTTTGAAAGTGTTATTTTTAGGGTTTGAATTGAAAGAAATACTTCAACTTTGATATAAAGTCTTCAACTTTGATATAAATTCTTCAATTTATACTTATACCCATCTCACAAATTCAACCAAATTGTGTTTGGGAGTGTGAATTTTGCTCAAAATGGCATTTTCTAGGTTTCAATTGTGGGGAATGCCCTTGTGGGGTGGCAAGGAGGAGACAGAAAACGTCTCGAGTGTTCGTGCTTCGAATTCGATGCCTGATTATGGTTTTGGTGTTAGGGAGATTGATAGTGTGAAGTTCCCATTAAAGGGGACTAGGATTGCTTCATCTTCTTCTTCATCTACTCCTAGGAAGATTAAGAAGAAGTGGCATAGTAGAGAAGAGAGGAAGATTGAGAGAGAGCATGATGTTGTTATGGTTCCAAATGATGGGGTTTGCTTGTCAGGGTCCGAGTCTGATGATTCTGATTGGTCAATTGGGTGGTTGGAGCCACATGGACCTGATTTCTTGAGTGATGATGAAACTGATGATAGCTTTGCTGTTCTTGTTCCTTGCTATAGAAGGGGCCCAGTTGAAGGTCCTAATACTCAATTTCTGAATACTATCAAGAATCTTACTAGCGAGCCATTCACTGGTAACAATTCTTTTTCCTCAAATTCCTGTTATAATCTGTACTGTTAACTGTGTTATTAGTACTCTGTAATATTCTAGTATGGAGTTCAATTATTGTTTCATGTTCCAACTGTTGTTGATAGATGAAGACATGCTTGGATGTGGCAACTGATTGTTTGATTGTAGGCTTATGTTCTTTTTGGTTTAGGTGTTATTACAGGACATAGACTATTTAACTTGTTTAGTTGATGATAGTCTGTCTAATTTGTGTTTGATTGAAGGGTTCTTGTTGCTAGTCCCCTTACTAAGCCATGTGTTTGATTAATATTTTTGGTTAAACCTAACTGATTGTTGTGAGTGTCACTGCTTCCATTTTGCGGGTTCACAGGGTATTCGACTATTCGTAGTGTAATAGTCTTTGATTTCCTTGTCTTCCTACATGGATTATTTTCTACAGGCCAGTTTCTCCTTTTGGAGCTTCTTTACCTTTTTTTTTTTTTTGCCAGACAATAATGAAAACATTGCATCTCTAGTGCTTGTACTGCCTGGCATCTATAATGATGTTCTATGAGGTTTCATGTTGTGAAAATTTGCACTATATAGTGTAAATAGGTAGCACCGAAATGTTGTGGGCAACCTGAATCATTACTTATTTGGTGGGAATTTTCTGCTAGTTATACTTATGAATGGCAGTCACTTGTAAGGACTAAGGATAAAACTGTCAGGACTCTGACCATCTATATTGCTTATGAGTAATCATGTTACATTGCTTGTTTTTAAGATTTCATTTCAGGTTGTTGTGTATGGACTTTGGGAGAAACCAGTTATTATTGGTAGTGTCCAATTTTAATTCATGCAAAAACTGCTCCCCAAAGACCGTCTATTGGCTTTTACCATCATTAAGAACCAAAAAGTGTTGTTAATTAATACGTTTTTATCAATAATGTGTTAGTATAGCAAGAATTGTAATGGATGATTGAATGAATATGCATATATCAGCCAGAGAGGGCAATTATATAAAAGGAGGAATATTATTGTCTGGTAAAGGTTCTTTTTTTGGTTGCAAGAGACAATGGGATAATCTGGGTTTGAATGTATTGGAATTTCTTCATGTCTCTGCCTTTCTGGTCTGAGTTTGACGCAGGTTTTACTGTGTAATTTTATATATGGGTGTCAGACCCTGGTTCCTCGGACTTGAATGAGAAGTCATATAATTTGAATTGGGTATGCTCGTCTTTGTTCATCATTATTTCAGACAGTGTAGGATAATATACTGTGGGCCACTAGGAATTACTAAGTTCATGCTGATGCAAATGGTTGCCATGAGTTGAGAAGTTTGGGTGTATGCTCAAGGAGTGAAGGACTTTAGATTTGGAGGTTTCTTATGTGATTCATAGAGAAATTGAAGATAATGGAGTCTGGATTGTTTTGGGAAAAATTCCAAGTGTTAAAGAACTATTTGAATTAAGCAATAATATCATCCGACTTGATACTAATCAACTGATAAGAACCAAAGTAGCTAGTCATGTCTCCGTAATTGTTTTAAACTCTGACCATTTTGAGCTGTTGGAGATTTCTTACGAAGTGTTTTATTGTGAAGACCAAGCTGTTCAAATGTTTATTCAGCATATTGTGTTGAATTTATGTAAATTTCCACAGCTTGATATTGTTTCATTCTGTGTTTCTGTGTTGGAAATATCCTAGTTATAAGCTGTCTTACTCTAGAGAAACTGAATGTTTGCACCTTTGCAAAAAGATGTCTTCTATCTAATAACTTTTGATAATTTTGTTATGTTTGCATCTTGTCTTGTTCACGTCGTTGGAATATTTCTCTATTTGCTTACATTTTGGTATTGAAACTTCAATTTTTACAATTTTACTTAAAAACAATGTGATGAAACTTTGCAGAAGGGAAAAACCTGATGGACCAGTGGCTCTCCTCACTGCAAAACTTCTGAAGGCTCACCATCATAGTTTGTTAATAAATAAGGTGGTGGTTCTTGTCATGTGTTTAGAGTTTGAAGCAATTGGCCATTATATCTATGTTAAATATGAAGGTTTGTGGACACAATAAAGATGCTGCTACAGAAGAATCTTAAGTGTCCACAAGACCAGAAGCAGAGATGATCTAAGATGATAATCTGGACACAATAAAGATGCTGCTGCAGTGCTGCTATAAGGTTGTTCTTAACCGCGATTAATTCAAACCAAAATGGGTTGCTTGATCTTTTCCTTAATATTCTGAGCCATTGTATATACCATTAGAATGTAAATAATCTTGTAATATGATTATGCTTGATTTCCAGCTTCCATTCTGAAGTAGTCTGTAAATATTCAGCTCTTCTGTAGAACATTGCTCTTCCTACTAACAAGAGAAGCTTTTCTACTATTCGTTTGCAGAACCGACAGTTTGCATTCGATTGTAAACATATTGTTAATTACGGCGTATCTTCCTGTTATATGATGTATATAATCAACAGTTCCATAATTGTTATCTTATGCTTTGTGTGGTGTACCATGAAAGGTTCTAAGGTTGCGGTCGCAACGTGATTATAAGTGTAATCAGGGAGTTGCAGCAGGACTTGGGGCATCTCCAGCACATTGGAGGCTGTATATGGTACTTGACCATATTGCTATATTTCCTGTTGCTCTTTCTCTGGTGCAGCTGATCTGGTTTCAGACTGGAGGTCAACTTTATAACGTGCACTCTACTCTTTTTTTCATAGATGAATTGGTCAAGGTAATTAATTACTTAATGATCACTTAATCCGGTGTTTATTAAATATCGTATCGAATAAATTAGTGATTAGAATATGTGCATTATTATGTGATTCAAATCATTACCTTTGCTTTTCTTTTGCAAAAATTAATGGCTAATGCGATTCTCATATAGTGTCTTAGGTAAATGCCTATGTCAATATGTCATGATATGAACTGTGTCTTAGTGACGTTATATGTTACTATTATTGATAAGATATTTCATTTGGGATAATTATTATTAATGATGATTATATTACAGTAATATTAATACCCCTTTGCAATCATTGATTATGGTGATTAAGACATTTTTTATCATTCATCTTTTAAATATACTTGTATATACTTTCACTTGATTATAAACATTGATGAAAGAATGTTGGACGGTTATAATTAAATGTATACAATGTTACATGATGAGGCGAGTATTGATCAATTTAATTAAATAACGAGCATTGATCTAAATCTAAATGGAGTTCAGCTAACTCAGAATTTTGTGAAATGGGCTCAACAATGACTCTCATTCCAAGCAATACCCCCTTGATATTCCTGTGATAGGAAAATAAGGTGGGGCCCACCCCTTACCTAAAAAAAAAAAAAAAAAAAAAAAAAAAACTATACAACATTTTTTTTAGATAAAAATCTCAAGAAATTCACCTTTATTGCCCCAATCAAGTCTTAGGCTGTTGCACCATATTCATTTTATGTACAGATGTACACATGATTTACATTTTTCTTAAATTACTACACGGTACTTTGTGTTAAAAAAAAATTTGCAACGATCTAAAGTTAATAATTTGTAAATTGCAGTCATTTGTTTTTAAAAAAAGTTGTAAATTGAAGCCCAAAATTCTTATAAATTGTAAATTGCACTCTGATTTAACCTTTTCATCGGTTTACGTATCAAAAAATATTTGATTAAGGGTTCGTTTGACATTGCTGTGGTTTTCTGTTTTTTGGTTTCTAACAGTATATGATATGAGTCCCATAATGAATAAAAAAATTATATAAACTTATTAAAATTATGATAATTTTGAAAATTGACAACATAAAAGTGGAAATACCTTTTTTTTGTTTCCTGTTTTTGGTTTTCAAAAAAACAGGAAACTGATAACCAAAACTGATGCCAAACAAATCCTAAGGTTTTAGGGGCCATTTTAACTCTTAAGGGACCAAATTGAGCTCGGAATCAGCAAAAAAATAACGTAAGCGCTTCGTTTTGCGTAACAAAAATGTATCGATATGTGGGTAACTATTTTTGCTGTAAAAATGAGGCACTTACATTATTATTTTTTTGCTAATTTCGAGTTTATTTCGGTGCCTTAAGGACTAAAATGATCCCTAAAACCTTAATCGAATATTTTTCAATATGTAAATCGATAAAAAAGTTGAATCAAATTGAAATTTACAATTTATAAGAATTTTTAAGTTGCAATTTGCAAAATACAAACTTTAAATGGCTGCAATTGACAAATTTCCCTTAAAAGAAAGATTAAACCCAAAACATGTTCAGCTTTGACACAAAGTAAGAGAAATCTTGTACTTCTTTTCAAACACTTTTGTTTCATCCATGAACATATAGAATAAACATAATACGATTCATGATAAATACCATAATTACCATTTACAAAAACTAAAAATTTACCCTAGTAATGAAAACAACTCAACCACATAAAATGTGAAAAAATGAAAGAAAACTCTAAAGTAAACTGAAAAGGTTACCAAAGAAACAAGCAACTCTGTCTTGGTATTGCTAGGCAAACTTAAAACAGACACATGTAAGAAAAATAATTGCAAGAATTTCCTAGCTTTTTAGTGGCTTCCCTTTATTTATTTTTATTTTTGATTGTTTTAAAGGAGAAAGCAAAAAGAAATTAAAGGGTCATGGAATACTACAAGTACTATATTTGACAACCTTTACAACCGAAGTTTCCTCCATACCACAACCCCACATTATAGGGGGTATAGTCTTTGCACATTCCCTTAATTTATTTTATTTTTCTATTTCAGATTTTATTATTTTTCTCTCTCAAATATAATCAAAGCAAAAAAAGACCTTAAATTTTTTATCATATTGAGAATGAGAGATGGGATGAAGGAAGCAAAGAGAGAGTCAACTTAGAGAATGTACAAAGATAAACTAGTTTCTGGCATTTTTCGCCGTTGATCCAGGAGGATTGAAGAAAATCGTCGTAAAAGTATTCAAAGATCCGGCCAGAACTGAATAATGTTGCAGAGGGCAGCAAGCAATGCATACTCTTGGTGGTATGCAAGCCATGTCAGGACTAAACAATCCAAATGGCTGGAACAAAGTCTTCAAGGTATGTTTGTTTGACGTACCATTTTGCTTCTTTTTTTTCTATCATGTTTGATTATTTCTTCGGCCATTTTGTTTTCGATCATTCCTGCAACAAATGCATAATCAACATCTTTACTAATTCTGGAAAGGAATCAAAGGATGAAAAAGTCAAATGAGATCACATTGATCTCTAAAATTTTGATTGTAATGAAACAATAAAACTGGATTATATGTAATTAATGTAACATATCAGGAAATAGTATGATCATGCATGCAATAAATTCAGAAATTGTAAATTAAAGTTAAGGATATATTCATCTGTACTATAAATCGCATTAATCTTATAAGAATAAAATTGATGATGAAATAAGAAAGTTGCATACATGTATAAACTTTAGCTAAAAAAGAAACTTGATAAAATAACTAGTCTATGTATATAGCTTAATATAGGTGATTTTATGCCAAATAAAAAAAAAATTGCTAATTAACAAAAATGAAGATAAATGTGGATTCTGCAGTTCTACGGTTGATGAATAATTCAGAAGCATTGTGGCTAATGAAGAATATACTTCATCAGAATCTAAATAAACACATCTTGTAGATTCAAAAGCTCTTTAGAACTGTTTTATAGTTTAAAAATATACGAAGTATTTACCAAAGATTTTGTGACATGCTGCAGATATGGGAGATAAGGTGGAAGCTGTGCTTAAACTCATTGAAGAAGATGGAGACTCCTTTGCTAAGAGAGCGGAAATGTACTACAAAAAACGGCCAGAGTTGATAAACTTTGTCGAGGAATCTTATCGGGCTTACAGATCCTTAGCAGAAAGATATGACCATCTTTCGAAAGAGCTACAGAACGCAAACAACACACTCGCATCTGCATTCCCAGATCAGTACCAGTTTCCAATGGATGATGATGATGATTATAACACCTCGAAAATGCCTAGGAAATTTCAAGACAGATCACCCAACCCAAACATCCCACAAGCTCCACAAAAATTCCCTACCAAAAATATTAAGGCTATCATGGCATTAACATCAAAGTTGAAGAATAACCCAGCTCCTAGGAATATGCCTAAATCAGGAGCTCATGCTAAGAGATTACCGAAATCTGGTCTGACAATAACTGAGGCTATCAATGAGATTGACAAGCTTCAGAAGCAAATTCTGACTCTCCAAACAGAGAAGGAATTTGCAAAGAGTTCTTATGAAAACGGGTATGCCAAGTACTGGGATATTGAGGAACAGATAAGTACAACACAAGAAAAGATCTCAAAATTACAAGATGAATTTGAGGTAGCCCAAGTTATTGAGGATGATGAAGCACGGACTTTGATGGCTGAAGCAGCTATTAAATCATGCAACGATACCTTGGCACAGCTGCAGGAGAAGCAGGAGAGAGCAGAAGTGGAAGCAAAAGAAGAGCACCAGAGGATTAAGGATGCTCGTAACAAGTTAAATTCTCTCAAGGGTGAGTTTCAAGGCAATCCGACTGATGCCTCTGAAAGCAGAGATCCCTTGAAAGCAGAAGAAGATCAAACTGGCATTGATGATGAAGCAGCAGGTGGTTTGAAAGAATCTAAGGATCTAGAAATAATTCGGGACAAGATTAAAGAGCACTTTGATGTAGGTGAAACTGCATCGCTCAGTGTGTTAGAGATGGCTGAAAAGATCGATGAGCTAGTGAACAAAGTGATCAACCTAGAATCTTCTATGTCTTCTCAGACTGCTCTAATACATAGATTAAGGTCAGAAACTGATGAGCTACAAACGCAGATTAAGGGCCTTGAAGATGACAAGGCAAACCTGATCGCTGGTAAAACCAGATTAAGGTCAGAGACTGATGAGCTGCAAACGCAGATCAAAAGCCTTGAAGATGACAAGGCAAACCTGATTGCTGGGAAAACCACTCTAAGTGACAAGCTGGGTGAAATGGAAAATAAGTTGAGAGGACTTCAGGATCTAAATGATATCTTCGATAACCAAAATAACAGCCTAGAAAGGCATTCAACTGCAGTACACTCTCATCTTGATATCAACTCGAAGAAATCACATGATGTAAACATAGAGACAGAAAATAAGTTGAGAGGACTTCAGGATCTAAGTGGTAGCTTTGATAACCAGAATAACAGTCTAGAAAGTCTTTTAAATGAAAAGCACTCCCATCTTGATGTCAACCAGATGAAATCACATGATGTAAATCCAGATGAAGGAGAGGCCGAGCAATCAACCAAGTCCAGAGAAAATGTAGATTTAAAGAAAAGAGTAAGTGATACGAGTACCTCCAGTCTTACTCAAGATGAGGGACAGAAATTTGGTGAAACAGCTCTACTAGAGCCAAAGGTTGAATACTCACATCCTTTGGAGATAAATAATATTCATCCACAGGAATCTATACCAAGCACCATTGAGTATGATCAACCTCAAGAACAATCAAACAAGATAGAAGAGGAAGCAGTATGTTCTCAGGTAACTCAGATACAGGATCCTTCAATTCAGCCAACATTTCCGTCAAATACTCCTCAAGAGGTCGAACCAAGTCACTTGGTAGGCATGCGAAAAGATGAGCCATATGCACCCTCAGCAGTGCAACCACTAGAAGAAAGAAAAGAAGAATATGAGCCAGACTGGCAGCAGTTATTCACAAATGGTTTGCAAGGAAAGGAAAAAGTTCTTTTAGCAGAGTATACAGTAACTCTTCGAAACTACAAGGAAACCAAGAAGAAGCTTTGTGAAGTAGAGAAGAAAAATGAAGATAGCTTCTCAGAGATGAAGAGTTCTCTTGCCACAAAGGATGAAGAGATCCACTCCTTACGCCAGACATTGAGCCTTCTGCAAAAAAGGTTGGACGAACATAAAAGTGTAAAAGAGAAGGATATGGAGACCTCTCAAGAGCCATCACCTCCCCTTGAAGAAGAAGATGATGATTATGATATAAAAGTTATTTCTCCAAGTGAAGAACAAGAGATCTCACCAGTCGAACAGAAACTACGGGCAGAGATGGATCAGATCCTTGAGGAAAATCTAGATTTCTGGATGAGGTTCAGTGCTTCATTCGGTCAGATCCAAAAGTTTCAAAATGGAGTTCAAGATTTGCAAGCAGAATTAGCAAAACTTGAGAAGAAACATGAGAAGAAAGAAGGGAGTAGTCATGGGGGGGATACTCACAAGACGCTTTTGAAATCAGATGTCAGGCCAATATACAAGCACCTGAGAGAGATACAAACAGAGTTAACTGTCTGGTTGGAGCAAAGTGAAAATCTGAAAGAAGAGCTACAGAGAAGATTTTCACAGTTGTGCCACATTCAAGAAGAAATAAAGCTAGCTCTAAGTGATGGTGCCGAAGATGATGACATGAAGTTTACTAGTTTTCAAGCTGCGAAATTCCAAGGAGAGGTAGCAAACATGCAACAAGAGAATAACAAGGTTGCTGATGAGCTTCAAACCGGTATGGATTATATAACAAGTCTCCAACTTGAAATGGAGCGTACCATAGCCAGGTTGAATGATGAGCTAGGATTTTCTACCTCACAAAACCAATTTGAAAATGAGAGGTCTGGAAGCCGGGCTCGGGTGCCATTAAGGTCGTTCATTTTTGGGGTTAAACCACAGAAGAAAAAGCAATCAATATTTTCCTGCATGCATCCAGGAATGATGAATCGGAGATACCATCATCTAAGATCTGACAAGTCACCTTAGAATCACTAAGACATATTCTGCGCTTTTCATCAGATACATGTAATTTGACAGTATTGTATCTATGTTTCTGGTATTTGCTGATGATATTAGATAGAGGCTATAGGATCATCTGTTCAGTATTTATGCATTTTTGAGGAGAAATCAGTTGGTATGTGTAAATTAGTTTATAGGTGTTTTTATTTCCCCAATTCTCAGAAACACTCTTTAGTTTTGAGTCAGTGAAGTTTATTGATTATGACTTATGAGCGTGAAAGCAAAGATTTTCTCTAATGACAGAGACAAGAAAACAACCAGCTCACTTTCCCCCGTCCCTTCTAATGATCAAGTGGTCACTCGTTTTCAATTCCTAGTCCATATTTATGATTAATGACAAGTTTTGTCAATACTACCTACGGATCACTATATAACCCTTAGAAACTTGGGTCTTTCTGACAAAACCTTATTCCTCTGATTTATTCCAATTCAGTGAGAGAGCTCATACAAGAGGAAATCAAGAATTAGCCCTATCATTTTTATTTATATTGGTGGAGTCATGGAAATAAGCCTACAAAGACCTTTTTGTATTTCTTGCATAACCTCTTAAAATAAGGGTCGAAACATGAGATTATAAAGACTCCTAACTGTTTCTTGCATATCCTTTGTGTCCCACCCTTTATTTTGGACACATGACTAGCATACAATCAGACATTTAAAGATATGGCACATTGATGATGTGAGATAATCATATGCAATGGGACACAAGATGAGACACGCAATAGGAAAAATGCAGATTATGAAGCCCTTGATAAATTTTTTGGAACTGAAATGGAAACTTCAGAAAAAAAAATTCCCTATTTTTATCAAATTTGTGTGGTTTAAACTTTAAAGAGACGTCAACCAAGTTGAATTAGTTCATAATACATGTAAAGTCCTCAAAAAGAATTTTATATAGACCTAAAATATGATATGTTCACGCACAAGAAGTTCGTGAACCTGCAGCATTTGGGGCACCAAGTCTTGCAGAGTTGCAGTTATGTAGTGAAGGACACCTCTGATACCACTTTGGCTCCTCTTCCCTGAGCCATGTAAAGACCTATATGCTGCATCAAATCCTGCATTTAAAACACGAAAAGAACAAAAGTCAGCAATATCTCTCACAAGTCGCAACAATAAAGCATTTATAGAATTATTTTATTAGAAATTTAGAACTCTGGCAGAACTGTTTGATTGAACTACAAACCAGCAATTAGAATCTAACTATGCCAGATTCATATATCATTTAAACTCTGAAATTGTCGGTGCCTACATTTTCTCATCCAAAAACCTGAAAGGGGCATAATAATAAGCTTTAACAGATGAAGAGTCACTTAGAGCCCCAAAGCCTGAGGCCATAGGTACTATCCATCAGTTCAAGCATAGAAAAATTACTAAACTTTTCATACACCATAACCAGTGCTAAGGTTAAACTAACAAAGACGACTCAGACGGGAATGATCCGTTCTGCCCTGCTATACTGCAAACTACGTCTAATTGTCTAAATAACTCAACATGTGGTGTGAGATACATCAACATGTGAAATAAAGAGATATTTGATTACCTGCGGATGTGCTATTGCATCTTCAATGGTTTCTGAAATATGCACTGGAAGATCATATGTAGCACAAGCTCGCGAGTACACAATCACATCTTGCAGAGGAGCAAGGATGCCTCGATTTCTGGCTGAAAGTGCAGAGGATACAAAATCCAACACACATATATCTGAACATATACCGGCAACCAATACCTTCACCAAAAATATAAAAATTAATCATCATTCACACAATCTTCACTTCGCTCACTATTACTCGAATTTTCTAACATTTCAAACTTTACACCGGTACCATATGGTAACTACTACAACTTACAAGGTAGCTGATAAAATAGGAGTATTCAAATGCAGTGGAATATGAACAAAAGCAACACTACATCTGAAAACAATACAGAATTTCTTTCAAACATACTTCACACCTACATTTCAAACCACTATTCAAAAAATTGAACCAAGAATGCTATACAAGAGGTTTAAACCAACTTACAGCTTTAAGCTTGTTTGCTTTCACCCAATCAACAAACACATTGGATCCATTTTCCTCGATCGAACCGAGAAATCCATCAATGCAATCTTTAAGCCTCATTGTTACATTAGCTTCACCTTCCAACCATTCCAATTCTACCATTCACAACAACAATAACAATTAAGGCGCAAAATAAATAAAAATTTAAGATAGCTCCAATATGACAATGCACCAAAATCAAGTGCAACTCCTTTTTACCATTTGTTCATACACTATTTTTACAAACATTTAATAAACTTACGATAAATTCAAAATCATCATAAAAGCTCAAATTAATAAAATAAAAAAAAAAACCTGGAACAAATTTGGATTCCAAAGTGCCAGCAAAACAATGAGGAGGATAAGGAGGTTCAGGAATAAGAGGATCATGAGAATCAAGGAATGCGAAAACCGGCCATTTTTTATCGCAAAAAACCCTAGATAATTTCGCCGATTCTTCCACCATTGCCGCGATTTGCTCATTCGGCACTTTTGGAGCCTAAATCATCAATAAAAACGTTCAAAATCAATTCAATTTCCAACAAAAAACCAAAAATTCTGCAAAATCAATCGAAATGAAGAGAGAGAAGTAAGTACGAGGTTTCCGGCGCCGACGGTGCAGAAGCCATTGACGATGTCGACGAGAACAAGTCCGGTGGAGGAATCGTCGGACAAAAGCAGAGTATCGTGTTTCAAAGGAAGTTGTTTCTGAAGTTCATCAATGGTTTTTGATGTTGATGCTACCATTTTTATGGTTTTGAGTTGAGAATTTAGGGAGAGGAGAGAGAAAATGGCAAAGGAAGAAATCGGAGTTGGGAGAAGTTTGACGGAGGAATACGTTGATTTGATTGTATAAAGTTAAAGTATAAACTTGCTGGAGGATCTATATAATAGACCAACCTGAATAGCGTGATAGTCAACGAAACTTCTTTTTCAATTACTACGTACTCCAATTTAGTCAATATAGCGATAGTTTGTTTGATGGGTTTTTTCCATTAAACGGGTTTAATCTATCGTACATTCGTACAATCAAAAATCGTTGGTTTGTGCTCTTAAAAAAAACATTATTTGTGTGTAAATAACATTTAGTAAATGTAATCTAAGTTGATGGAGAATTAACAATGATCTTAAAGAAAACAAACGCCAAGCTTATTCTAAATGCAAATATTCATAATTTACTCATGGATTACCTGCATATCATCCTCTAGATCAATGTTATATTGTGCTAAGCTTATGTTATTGTCATCATCTCATCAAATCTACTCCAAATCAATGATACTGTGAATTTTGTCATTTTTATCCCATGGATGTCAACTAGTTTAGTTGGTTAAAGTCTTAAAGTGTTACTTAAAACATGAGATTGAATCTCGTCTATATCATTACTTTTAAGATCTCTCAACCAAAAAATATCATTTAAATCAAATCTCATCTTTGAAGATACTTAATTTGAGACTACTTTGAGTTCAACAATGTAGTATTATGTGTTTCACATTCTTACTTTAAAATTCGTGTTAATTTAATTTGAAACTAATGTTATTCATTTTAAGTTCTAGTGTAAACTGATCGGATCATTGGAGTACTATTTAACTGATACACGAATGTTTTTGTTCTTTTTGGGGCTTGCCCCTCTTTTTCACCAACAAAAAAGGACTTACCTACCATTTTGCAATATTACCAAAACAACAAGCTTGGCCTCTTTGGCACCAAAATCTCATAGACTCCAAAATGTCATCACTCATCACAGTCATCAGGTCACAATTCAACAGAAACAGAATCCTGGGCCCATGAATTTTTTTCTGAAAACAGAATAGCAACTACCAAGGCAAACAGAATCGTTTTGCGATATACAAGTAAAATTTTATTTTCTGTTGTCTTTCTGTTGCATCCCAAACAGAGTCCACAAGGTTGCTTCATACTCCGTACTTCGTATTTGATTATCTCTCCTGTTATAACTCGAAAGAGTTAAAATAACTAGAAAAAGCGGTACTGACATTGGTGGTTGTGGTAAATAATCTATAGAAGGGGGTGTTATAATTTAACATTATCAAACATGCAATTGTCACTGTACAAACAACATGAACTACTAAAAGGCTAAAACTATAACATGACTACATGAGACTCGAAAGCAGCTAATGAAAAGGCTTTTTCATAATATTTTGCCCTTGCCTTTCCCTTTGTCAGCATCATCTTGTGGGAGCTGCTTGCCCATAAGACCAAGCAGGTTGGAAGCAGGACCGGGGAGGCCCTGCTGAGAAGAAAATGAATCAAGCAAGCTCTTCACAAGATTCACATCTACATCCACCGGAGTAAAGTCCTCGTCCATGTCTTCTGTAGCATTTGACATACCCTGTACACCAAAATCAATCAGCAATAGGAACCTTATTTCTATACTTCATATTGTATTCTAAAAATCCCCTCAGAAAAATTAATTTACAATAAATGCTGGAAATGAAAGTACTCTGTACAAGGGCAATCAACCAAGAAAAAATAAAAAGGGATCAAGGAAAAAAAAGGATCAAGAAAAACCTCATCTTTCTTTAGAGATTGATCAGTTGCCCGTACAAAGCTCTTCTTAAGAGTAGAACTTCTCAGCTCTTCATTAAGAGCATCTGTATAAGCATTCATAAAATCCCCCTGCTTCTCTTCACCATGCTCTTCAGGTTCTTCCATATCACTCTCGTCCTCGGACTCATCTGCACAATTTGATCACCAGTCAAACCTAATCAAACAAAACACATGCAAATATGCCTATGCGTAGAAGGTAGCCAATACTTTTTTCCCCCTGAAACCTATGACCTCCTCCTCTTGGAGTGAGGATGTACAACAGTTGAATCATTAACATTAAGCTAGAGTATAGCCTGGTTGGCATTTTTGAGTGGAAAAAACCCAATTTAACAGATCATACCCCCAAAGGCCCAACCTCCCTAAAGTAATAAATCATACCAAAATCCATGTCAGAAGATCCTTCCTCTGCATCATCTTCACCACCAGGAGCCCTTGTTACTGATTCAAGCTCTTTCATGAAACGATCCATGTCAAATTCCACATCTTTCAGGTCTCTAAGATGGAGAAAACAAAATCAATTAAACTTTAAGCACAAAAACACAATTAATAGACGCCTTTTTCCAGAGGAATAAGCATGAGTAATCATTTTTCACCCCTTAAAGCACAAAAACACAATTAATAGACACCTTTTTCCAGAGGAATAAGCATGAGTAATCATTTTTCACCCCTTAAAGCACAAAAACACAATTAATAGACACCTTTTTCCAGAGGAATAAGCATGAGTAATCATTTTTCACCCCTAATGCTGCTGGTTATGTTGATTATCAAACATTTCAGTATGCACACAAACAAAGAACAGCATTCCAACTAGCTAACCTATAAACATGCAATGGCAAATGCCAACGATTTCTTCAAACCCCCCACCCCCCACCCCAACCAAAAAAAAAAAAAACTCGTAATAATAAATAAAGTTCTGTAGATATAACTTCTGTAGTGCTACTGAGCATTAGTACAAGCTGTCAAATAAAGTTTTAACAGGACACTTACTATACTGAAGATTTTTCAAGAGAAATGCCTCTTGTTCAACAAAAGTTAATACGAAGAACTACTTTTGAATAATTTACTTGGACTTGGGTGCAAGTGTCGGAATGGACGCATCTCCATGTGTGAGACTGCTATTATATGAAAAGTTTATGTGGTTTTGGTTCAAAATGAAGTGCAGTGTCCATAGTCCATAACTATGTCAAAGATAGGAACAAGCATGAGAAATTGGGATAAGATAAAGAGTCAGATGAGAGATCAAACCATTTACCATATTGACAAGATATCATTTCCTTGGACCAATGAAATAAAGGGCAGATCCAATAATAATGCCCAAACAAATTATGCCTCAATTACATAGAATACTTGTGAAGTCCAAAAAGTCCTACAAGTGAGAAAAAAAAAAAAAAAAAAAAAAAAAAAGATATCTTTGTAGGAATGCATGAGCAGCCTAAATAGAAAGGAAGCAGTATCCATATGGGAGTTCTCAGAGAGACTTCGCACCGAATTTACCAATAAGCAGAGAGGAGATTTATATACAACATATTGACATGAGATCAATCTTCTAGGAGTTAAGGCTTAACAATTAAAGCACTAGGTGTCATCAAGTGACTAAAAAGGCATCAAATTTGAAAATGCTGTCAACAACACCAGTCTGCATCAAAGCCCAACAAGTAAACATCACAACAGAGTAGGAAACACTTGGCACCCCCACGTGGAGTATCAACAATCAAGTCTACATCTCAAAGTTTCAAAACACTAATCAAGTGGATTAATCAAACTAAAAAGCACTACAGAAGTACAGAGCAAGAAGTCATTTGTACAAAATGTATCAAGTTACCAAGGCAAACAGATAATGATAATAATAACCAGATTCTATCAAAGGCAAAAGGAAGAAAATCAAAGCTAGTTTGAAGTATGCAAACCTGTCATCAGGTACTTCTGCTCCTTGGTAACTTGATACATTTTGTACAAATGACTTCATGGACTTTGCTATTTCTCCTAAATCAAAATCGTCCTTATTCAGGTTGGATGAATCATCATCATTGACCTTATCCTTTCCTTTCTGTTTCCTTTTCTGTCGTTGCTCATAATTGTCCATTTCCTTTTGTCTTTCCTCAAGAACAGATTTCAACTCTTCTTCCCCGCCATAAAGCCAAGAATCATCATCAGATGAAGGCACTTCTTGATCCTTGAAATCATCAGGGGAGTGTGATGAAGCAAGAATCTCATCTATTCTCTTCACTGGAGCACTTAAAATTTCACTGTTTCATTCAAAAGATATTAATTATTGAAAGTCAGGAAAGATAGGTTTTAACATAACATACAGATGCAAAATAAGCATTGTCAATTCAAACAACAAATGCAAGAGCATCAAAATTTAACCTAGACTAAGGATACAAATCTTTTAATTGGTCTAAATAAGGTAAGCTATGAATGTTCTTTTTCCAAATTTTTGTTGCGGCCACAATTTGTGGACATATAGCAACTGTTTCCCAAAACAGTTAGATATGAGAACACTATGTGCATATTAAAACAAGAAATTACACGGGTAAAATATAACAAGTGAGCTTAAAAAACAGTTTCAGGCACTGAAAAGTGAAAACATCAACCAAAGTTGAAGATTTTGATAACTAATAACCAGTATTATACCTGGCCCTATAATGCAAGGCACTCTTTCTGTAGTACTCCTCTGCCTTCTCCATCAATTGCTTGTACTCTTTAGATCCTGGAAGCAGTCCTTTGAAGTACCCACTCTTCTCCAAACTCTCCCTAAATGCCTCCCAAGTACCTCCTTTTCCTTCCTCTCCCTCCCTCTTCCTATGCTGATAAACCATTTCAAACCCACAAGCAATCTTCATCCCCAGTTCAGCCTCTGTGTATGTAGTCTGATCTGTCCTTGGTGGCATGGGAGGCATGGGATAACACTTAGGAGCCTGAAACTTCTGCTGCAACAATTGAGCATACATTGCCCTCGACATCTTCACAGATACCAGAACCAGCTCCTCCTCACGACCCTTAGGCAAAAACTTCTCCATGTTTGCAGCATATTTCATTGAATCAATATCACGGTCATAAAATCCCTCAACTGCCAAGGAAATAAGACAGGGCTCATGCCTCAATACCTACATTAAAAAATGTAAAAATAAAAATAAAATAAAATAAAATAAAAAACAACTCAATGAGATCTAGAAAAATGCAAAACGTAAGGAGTCTGACCCTGCAAGAAAATGAAAAATATAAAAAGTAATAGCTCATCTTTTTGTACTCTTGAAGGTAAAAAGTAATAGCTCAACTTTCATAGGATTATCTTAGATACCCCTACGAATGTGGTCAATTATACTAACTTGAACTTGAATCCCTGATAAACACATTGAACTCCCCATATTTATCATTAAGTAGTTTGTATGTAAAAATCATGTTTCACTTTATCAATTTCTTTCTCTTTTCTATTGTTATATCAACCTCTCTTCTATATCTACTAAGGGGACGTTTGGTTCATGAAATATAGGAATGAGGTATGGATTTGGAACGATTTAAACCCATATCATGTGTTTGGTTGATGATTTTATAATTTTAAATCCAAAAACCCAAGGGGATTGTGGGTTTGGGCCATACCAATACTTCAAGTATCAAATTAAAGAAGAAAAACTCATTCCAGAATTGAACCGAACACTTAGTAGTTAGTACTAAGAATTAAAATCCAAACATAAATCATCATAGCTTCATTCTTGATTCCAACCCCATACCATCATGCAAACCAAAACACTCCCTAAGTCTTATAGACAAACTGACAATTGCACGGATTAAAAACTGTCAAAATCATCATTTTATTCTTGTCCAAACGTATAAACAATAATATAACCAGACTTCCAAAGTTGAAGCCCAATCTATACTTCTAATCAATCATTTGAAGCAAATGTAAAACCTTCTCATTGCTTCAAAATTAAAATTCATCGTGTCTACACTACTAAGCTTAAATGAAGTATAATTTGAAAATCATACATACTTCATTGCATCCAAATTATCGACTGGACGACTGGTTCAAATAAACTAAACTAAAGTTAATTCCAATCAAATTGCATTAGGTTAACATAAAATAACGATTATAAGTAAATACGGAGTAAAAAACAATAATAGGTCAAATTAATCACCTGAGCAACAGAAATCGGAACCCTAACCCTAACACGATGAATATTCCGCCTCGCTCTTTCAGGATACTCCGAAATCCGACCCTTAATCGCCGACTGAACCGAATCCGAAGCCCTAGTAACCTCAGGATGCTCAATCAACAACTTAAGAGCATCTTTCAAAGTAGGAAGAGAAGGAAACTTCTTCTTCGGAATAATATGAACTTCATTTTTCCGAATAAAAACGCGATTATTTGAATTTTCTGGATTAATCCAACGAGGAAGATGAAAGGCGGCTTCAATTAGCAGAAACTCACCATCAGAATCCCAAACACGAATAGAAAGAGAAGGAAATGAGAGAGAAATATGAAAGAGAAGGAAGACAACGAACCACTCGTCGTCGAGGTTGTCGCCGTACCGAAGCTTTCCATGGAGGTGAGGGAGGTCGTCGGAGGAGGAGAGAGAAAGGGAGAAAGGTTCGTGTTGCCAAATGTAGTCGGAGGTGAGAGGAGAGAGAGTGGTGAGGATTTGGAGGTGCAGAGCTTGGAGGTCGTCGGCAATGGCGGAAGAAGAAGTTGAAGAGAGAGAAGAGTCGGAGTAGATGGAGTAGAAGACGGTGTCGTCTGGAAGTCGGGAATGTTTGGTTGAGAAAGGATCTTCGAAGGTTTGGTAATGGTGGTTTTCCGCCATTGTTGAAGGTTGGAGAAGCTTTAAAACTATGTCGCTTTAATTTAGAGAGAGAAAGTAAACCCCGCGCTTTGTGGTTTTGTTTTGCTTGTGGACTTGTTGAGGAGTAGTTGAGTTGCTTCTTGAGAGTTCTCATTTCAACCCATATTTTTTGGTAGTCTAATGGCGGTGTCTAAAAAATTCACTCAACAGTCAACACTTCATTTGACAAGATTTCGAGTGTTTTATGAGACAACAAGATTATCAAATGAGTCAAGTTTTAATGCTATACTTTTGTGTGTTTTTTTGTTTTTTTTGTTGCATGTGTATAGAGAATAAAAAGAATAATGATGTAGACAAAATTTGATCTCAGGTTTTGAATGCCGTCAAAAAGTATAATAAAGTTTTGTGATAAGAAATCCAACGTACGAGGGAGCATAACTCTTTCAATAACATGATAAAAAAACTCATTTTACACCTAACATTTACTTGTTATTTGTCACAAATTCATTTTTAGAGGATCACACGTTCTTGAAGAAAGTATAAAGCTAATGATAAATATCAAGCCAATATTTCTTATGTTCACTTGGCAAGTAATTAATGGTTTTTAGCCACAAAGTATGAGGTTAACGATAAGTGTGTCTTTTGTTTAATAGTGGAGGATAGGGAAGATACTAGAGGGAAATTCAGTTAGAAATACAAGGAAAATAAGAGGTGGAAGATTTTTTTTTTATTTTTTATTTTTTGACAACAGTCCAAAAAGGATGCTAGTTCCCAATTGACTCAAGACTACTAAGCGAAAATTTAACTCTCTGAAGCCAGACTAATACAAGAACTAAATTGGGGATTGGGGGTACAAACATTGTAAACTACTTGTCGATGCAAATAAGGGGGTTAAGGGATTTATTGAGTATATATCGTCGATACTAAGAGGACCTAAGTAGCCTCTTAACCACAACACCGATGGGACCATGGGCAAGAGATCGGCCCATGGGACCATTATTGTGTTTTCGTCAGTTGGGTGTTCACTAGTATCACTTAACCAGATTAATATAAAGCTCTTTAGGGGGCAGGTGCTTGCTCATGGGTTGGTGGCCATCCTTGGGTGGCGTCATGGCCAAGGATCATGAGCGTAGCCTTGGACATAGGATAGCCTATGGGGGCTATGGCACGATGGGATTTGGTTAGGGGGTTGGCTTAAAGTTATGACTTGATCCAAGTCGGTGCACCATGGCTGGAACACATTGGCTAAGATTTGTGAGGCTCTGGGAGTCTAAGCATAACTTAGTGTGTGTGTGGTTGATAACTAGAGTGAACCCTATTTACAGGGATCACGAGTGGGGGTAGTTACTTGACGATTACTTGGGTGACTTAGTGGAGAACGTGGGTTGACGGTTACCCGCGTAATGGGGATCATGGGAGACGGTTACCACGAAGTGATAACCGCTCATCAGTTGAGAAGAATGTGGGATGGCGTGGCATCCATCCCTTATTTCTAGGAGGGGTTGGTAGTGGAGAAGTGGGCGGTTATAGTAACCACACACGAAGCCCACTACTCTCCCTTAAGTGGCAAACATGCATGCAAGACAGTGAGACACGTTGTATTCCTATTTGGCCGGGATGTGGCCAACTCTTGAGTAGTATAAATAGAGGACTTGCCCCATTCGTTGGGCACTCACTTATTCGGGCTCATTGCCTTGTATTGTACTCTCATTCTCAAAGTGATAATAAGTAGTCTTGTTTTTGCCTTAATTTGCTTGTCTTGCCTTGGTTATCGTAGTAGGTTGGTATAGACGCCATCACGGGAACCTCCTTGGTCCCTAAGTTAGAAAAAAAAAGTTACTCCGTAGTTTTTAAATTTTCCCTTGACAGATGGAGTAGTGGCTAAAGCATTAAGCATAGCGACTTAAATTGATAGCATTAGGAGGGGGGTTCGTCAGCCTTGTTCGGTTATTCCCATGTCCCCAACCCCCTAAAAAAAGTCAACAAGTCAAGAACTCCTGAGTTCCTTGACTTTGGACATTCCAGTCCCCACCCGCCACCTCATATCATAAATCTACCCTCTATTTTTCTCTCCCCTTTCCCAAAAAAAAATAAAAAATAAAAAAAAGATAAGGATGTGCTACAATCACGAAGAAGAATGGCGACGAGAAAAAGACAATCACACGCCGCCACAATCGACGGCCGCCGCCGTCGCAAGATCGGTTGCTCTTCTCGAGGATTTGAGAGCGCGAGCAGCTGAGACCGAGTTCAGACTCCAACAAGCCAGGGCTAGAGAAGCCGCCCTCACTCGTCAGCTTCATGAAACAAAACGCTTCGTTTTAGTCATGGAGATCATTGAATCCTACCTTCAACGACGCTTCCTTCAACAGCAACAACTCCTCGCTCGCCTCCTCTCCCCTGTATCTGTACCCCCTCAATAAACTTTTTACCTTTTTTTTTTTTTTTTTTTTTGTTGTTGTTGTATATATTTTATGTTTGATTTTCATTTTTTTTGCTTTATTGATAAAAACAAAAAATTAGGGTTCGTGTTGTATAATTTATCAACTAATTTATAAGAAATCATTTCTCTATTACAAGATTCATTTAATTTCTTTTGTTTTTAATTGTGTGTGGAATTTAGGGGTTTTCTATGATTATGATTCTTATGCTGTCAAATTTATTTATTTTTGGTTCGAAACAAAAATTCAAGTTAGTTGATTTGTGTTCATTAATTTTTAATTGGAATGCTGTTGTGAATTTGTGATATGGAAATATAATGTTTGCTAACTAAATTTGGACTGCTCTTGTAATTTGTTGTTGTAGAAAATTGTCTAAATTCATTGATGTTTTGTGATCTTTAATGTATTTTCTGCAACATGTTTTGTAGTCAAATCAAAGCATATTTGATTATTTTTGTGTAACATTCATCTACTTGTAATCCAATAGATGTTGTGTTATGTGAATGGTCTTGGCCACTAAGTGTCAAGTAGTTCAATTCGTATTCAAATCATCATACATGAGAAATTACGACCCATTGCTGTGTATATATGCTCTCTTCATCTTATAAATTACTTCCGTTTTACAATAATTAGTGCTTTGATAATACGAAGTATTGAACTTGAAATTGTGTTTTGTGTCTACATTTATGATAATACGAATTAGGATCATACTCTCTTCCATGATGGCTTGTTGTTGTGTTCTTCCGAAATGCACCTGTCCATTTATACTGTACGTTGAGTGCGGCTTTATAGTTTTGAAACAACATTAACAGGGTTTTGAAGCAAGCTTCAGCCATTGAGAATGATGTATAGCTTTATATTTTGGGGAAATAACAGGATTTGGTGATTGTAGATTATAAATCTGGTTGATTATATTGATCATGGGCCTTGGCATGTTGCATTGTCACGATTGAGGTTGGTGACCGCCACGTTTATTTGTCAAACCTGTGAGTGAAATCCAACTTGTTTAAAGCTGATACCAACTCTTGCTTTCATTTGTGCTGCTACTTCTGATAGCAATCCTCTGATTCCGCTCTTAGAAGTTCTAACTTCTATTTCATTTTACTTCTGCTTGATTCATGATGCTTCTCCTGAAGTAAGGTGCAACATGTTTGAGAATTTGTGATGATTGTAGGAATTAAAATGCATATAAGTGGATATAAGCAACGTGTGTTCAATCTAGTACTTCATATTTGTATTTGGTCTGTAGATGTGTATGAATTTGTATTGGTTATTGGAACACATTTTTGATAGATTTTCAACTTTTCCCTTGTATATAAATATATTGGTGATGTAACGACAATGGTAAACCTGCAATGGTCCGATTGGGTTTGGTATTAATGTAAGGCATATTGGTAGTTTGGTACTAATATAAACTAAGCACAACTTGGTATCATTAAACGTTCGTTATTAGTGTTAGTGATAATTCAAGCTATTATAAATCGAGATTAGTCCAACTATCCTAATCATTTTGTTTAACTATAAGATTATGTCACATTGCTGTATATTCCATATTGAGGGATTAAATCATTTGATAATTAATTTCAGGACTCTGCTATCTTGAAAATCCAAAGTTGCACTTAAAAGACAATTGAAGGAGGGTATTGTTGAAGACTGTTATTGTAACTTTTTGACCACAATAGCTCTATCATCTTAACCTTTGGATGAATTTGATCTATCATTGGATATGTGATGAAATTGATTCACATTTCTAGACATATCCACGTCATTTTTTTTGGATTTTATATACTTCTACTTTAGCCTAAGAAATGAGAAAATTGACCACAATGACATCACGAGGTGGAATCTCTAGTGAAATCTCCGACCTCCAGTTTCAATAATGTCATTTAATGCACCCTATACAATAGGTTGTGTTATAGATTAATTTTCAAATAAGTGGTGCTATTCTATGCACCTTGTTAATAGGTGGTGTTATTGTGACCAATTTTCCCTAAAATTAGTTTGATGTGATAGGATTCATAGGAATATTTATTTAATTATTTTTATTTTATTTTTTTGGGCATGTCACTTGAAAAGTTGTCCAAATTTGATTGATTCAACCCCACTTTCTAACTCACTATCTTAAATTCCTCTTTAATTTGATTGTGTTAGGCAATTTCAGTTTGTCCTACCAAGTTGGGATAATGATTCTTAGTTTCTTACTAATTAAATCTTCAATTTATACCACTCTGAACTTAACTCTATCCTTGAACGATATATAAATAGAGAACATAATATATGTATCTTATAATCTAACACTTTGCATCTTCTAAATAAGAGGGTTTTTTTCCCCTTATGATCACTTTATGTGTATCTTATAATCTTCTGATTTTAGGTGAAGAAAACAAGTTTGACATTCTATATCTGAACCAAAAGACTTCTCATCTGAATTTGATTTGGCCCGTGTCCAAATCAAACAGCCCGACTGTGCCGTACCCACCACCCAGTTAGGGTCCGCAAGATTCTTACCCGCCCCAATCTTCCAACGGCACAAAAAGTACATTTATCAATGAAACATTTTTATTATAGTTCCACTTCCAAACTACTTTATTTTACTCTCATTTGTAAATTGTAACAATCAACTGATAAACAGTTTTGCAGGTTAGAAAATTTGAATAGGAACATGCTAAAAAACAAAAAGTGGCAAATTCAAAAGATAGATTAAGAAATCAAAGATGCTCCCATTATCAATTTCATCTCCTTTACTCTCCTAAAAACTTCATTGAACCACCAAACACACTTCATAAATCATAATTACATGCCACCATTTCCTAATTATGTTGCTAATTCACATTATTATTAACTCTTTTGCTTAATTTTTACTCTTTCTTCAAAATCATTCCTTTTCATACTTCAATCTTAGCACAGTACCCCAGTTCAAATCTTCAACTAAAGCTTGTATTTAAGCAATACCCAAGAAATGGTAAAAGGGTCAAGCTCAAAAGCCATGGATAAGTCTAAAAAGCAAAAGGGCACAAGTTCGAACCCTACCAACGACGTAAAAATTGAGACATTTGTTCCAAAGAGAGATCATGACCCAAGAGATTTAAGATCTTGGGCTAAAAGAACTGGGTTTGTCTCACTTTTCTCTGGTGAATCAACTGCTTCAACTTCAAATACTAGGAATAATTTAAGGAATGAAAGAGTTGGGAATGATTCCATTGAGGAGAGAGAAAATGATGGTAATAGAAAAAGAGGGGAAACAGATGCTGAAATTCAGCCACTTGGTAATGGAATCCAAAGGAATAGGAATGGGAATGGGAATGAGGAAAGGAGGGAATTCAATGAGAATACAGATGTTTTGGGGTCTATAAATGAGGAAAGGAGAGTTGGGGTGGATGAGAATGGTAATAATGGAGGTGGGAATGAATTTCATGAAGGTCAAAATATGGAGTTTAATGGTGAAAATGAAGGGGGTTTGTATGGGAAGTCCCCTAATTTAGAAGACCCAATTTTGAGAAGACAGCCTAAGGTTTTTAAAGTTAAAAGTGGGATTTTGGATAATCCTGGTTTTGGTGAGTATGTTTTATTTATTGTTATTTGTTTTATAAGTTTATAATTTTGCCTAGTTGCTTCATACTTAAAAGCTATTGCTCCATATTTATGATTTTATAAATAAATATATAAAGAACTTGAATAATCATGCATGATTCTTGCAATGAATTGGAATATGACGATATTGAGTATTGGTGATGATAGGGATGATAGTAAGATAAAATGACTTGTTACTTGTTGATAAGAGATGATAATAAGATAAAATGACTTGTTAATTGTTGATAAGAGATGCTAGACCTGAGGCATAATGTTCTGTTGAAAATTTGTTATCTTTAGAATGAAAATGTTGTTTAATTGGAGCTTCAATTAGCATTGGGCAGCTTTTTCGTGTTAGACGAATGGTTTGGATGAGATGAAAAGTCACACGGTCCTTGAATCCATACATAAAATAAGATTACCCATGTTCTGTTCTATCAGTTTTAATATCCAAGGTTTTAAGCATGAAACACTAAATCTATTGAGTTAGCCAGCAAGGTGCCTTTCATATTTTCATATAATCATCGTCGTTGTCTTGTAATTTTCTTCTTGTGAGATTACTATCTTGTTTGTGTAGACTGTGACTCATATTTGGTTCTTTGTATGGCAGTTCCAGTAATCTATTATGGTTTCCAGCATTATTTCTCAATTGCTGGTTCACTTGTTTTAATACCTCTTATAATGGTACCAGCAATGGGCGGAACTGATGTAAGTATCTTGTTGCTTTTGTCTAAAATTATTACACCGTATTTTGTTTATAAAGCAAGACGAGTGTACTGATATGATGAAATTTGTATCTGAAATCAATTTGTTCTTCCATGTCTCAGAAAGATACAGCAAATGTAGTGTCCACAGTGTTGCTGGTGTCTGGCATCACAACGCTGCTGCATTCATTCCTTGGGACTCGTCTTCCTTTGGTACAGGGAGGCTCATTTGTATATTTGGCTCCAGCACTAGTTATTATGAACTCTGAGGAGTTTCGCAATCTTACACAGCATGTAAGTTTTGTTTTGATTTTCTTTATTTTTATTTTTTTTGTACTTCATATGTTTTAAGCTGTAGACTAGTAGAGATAGGCAGATATCAATATATCAGTGTCTTCACTCCTTAAAACACAATTAGTGTAGGATTAAAATGAAATTTGATTGTATCTTGAGAAATATTCAGTATTGTTTAACAGAATTGTTAGGGATATAACGACATCCAACTCATTCCATGTAATATAGCTTATGAGTGTTTACCTGTCTGCCTCTTTAATAAGTGATCTAAGTCAACTTACTGGTTTCCATGAGATGAATTCAGTAACACAGAGTCCTGCTGCTACTCTTCATTTATTAATGTTATTGCCATTCCAATGACGTATTTTTCTATTTTATACCATTTAATGAAATACAGAAATTCAGGTACATAATGAGAGAACTACAAGGGGCTATTATGATTGGGTCACTTTTTCAGTGCATGTTGGGATTTAGTGGTCTTATGTCTTTGCTATTAAGGTATGTTAAAGGTTCAATTCGAAGAATAACTTTTGAAAAGTCTCATAGCCTACCTTATCTCTAGATAATATTTTTATTTTAAGTTTACATCAGTGTTCATTTGAATGTTTCTACTGCAGGTTGATTAACCCGGTTGTGGTTGCACCAACAATGGCCGCTGTAGGTTTAGCATTTTTCAGCTACGGGTTTCCTCAAGCTGGCAGTTGTGTTGAAATAAGCATACCCCTAATAGTGTTGCTTCTTTTCTTTACCTTGGTGAGCCGTCTTATTGCTATAAGTGGTTGTTGTTTGCTAAACTGAAATCTGATTCACATCCATGGTGACATGAGTTATCCATAAATGTAAAAACTTCAATGATTATTCAAGATTTTGAAAGCTATTTGATTTTTGTTTCCCCTGATTTTCAGTACATTCGGGGAGTATTTATATCAGGCCATCGAATTTTCCAAATTTATGCGGTATGTATGTCAATTTCCTGTCTAGATTTTCTGGTAAGCTGCATGTTACTGCAGTCTTTCCATAATAACTTCCATAATTTTGAATTTATGCAATCATAGTACTGAGATAATCTTCCTATTTATATTGTGGGGCATTGGTCTGAGCTCTGATTCTTTTGTTAAGTTGTATTCTTTCCTATTTTACAAGGCAGATTGATTGGCTACTAATACTTAAGCTAACTCTGCTTTTTCCTTCATTTAAAACAAGGATGATATACCAAAATGAGCTCTTTGGAATTTCTTAATCATTCTAATTTAGTAAATTTTATTAATTGAAACATATACTTCGTATAGAAATTGAGGGGCAGGAAATTTTCTGCAAATTTAGCTGGCTTTTATTTAGTTATTTTACTGACCTGTGTCTGTAAACATTTGCAGGTGCCGCTTAGTATTATGATTGTATGGACATATGCTCTCTTTCTGACAGTTGGGGGAGCCTATAACTTCAAGGGTTGCAGCCCCAACATCCCAAGTTCGAACATACTGGTTGATGCATGCATAAAGCACGCATATACCATGAAGCACTGCCGTACAGATGTTTCAGATGCATGGAGTACTTCTGCTTGGGTCCGGATTCCATACCCATTGCAATGGGGCATCCCTATCTTCCGCTTCAGGACCTCTATAATTATGATCATCGTATCACTCGTTTCATCAGTAGATTCGGTAGGTACCCTTTCTTCTAGGATGGTATTGCTCATAGATGTCCAAATTAAAAAGAAAAGAAAGCTTCTTACATCAAGGAAATCTATTTCTAATGATAATTGATTATGTGCTCCAACTTTGCATTTATCAAAATTTACTTTAATGTGGAGTTCTTTAGTAGTTTACCACTTGAACTGTGAATCATATTGTTTTCTGGTACCATTTTAATCACGTGATGAATTTTTAGTACTCATTGAAGATACATGTAACGAGCAGGTTGCAACATATTATTCTGCATCATTAAAAGTCAATTCAAAGCCTCCAACCCCAGGAATTGTGACTAGGGGAATTGGGATGGAAGGTTTTTGCAGTTTACTGGCTGGACTATGGGGTACCGGAACTGGATCAACAACTTTAACTGAGAATGTGCATACAATCAGCATAACTGAGGTAGCAAATCGAAAGGGTGTACAGCTTGGTGCTGTTCTTTTAATTTTGTTATCTTTTATAGGTAAAATACATCTTGCCACACAGATTCAAGACAATTCCAGTTAAATATTTCTTGTTTTGTTATAATTTTGTGCACCACTTAGTAATGTATATCAATATGTTTTTTGACTGCAGGAAAAGTAGGTGGTATCCTTGCTTCCATTCCACTAGCACTTGCTGCATCTGTGTTGTGCTTCATTTGGGCCCTCACTGTAGCTCTCGGTCTCCTAAATTTGCAATTTACTCAAGCATCTAGTGTCCGAAACATGGGAATAGTCGGTGTTTCCTTGTTTCTTGGATTGTCCATCCCTGCATACTTCCAGCAATTTCAACCTGAGATAAACCTGATTCTTCCCAGTTATCTAATTCCATATGCAGCAGCATCAAACGGGCCAATTCACACTGGCAATAAACAAGTAAGTAGTGCTTTTATGATACAAGGAAACTGGCAATTCATAGATAATTAGTCGAGAAAAGATTTTATGTGGAGTGTTATATCTGTACAGTAATTGAATTTATTGTTTGTGCCTTGTAATGCCTGAACTTGGTCTGGAATAACACTTTAAATAGCTTACCATGTCTCGAATCACTGTTTGTTATCACCTCATGTGAGTGTCCCTTCTTTCCAGCAGTCCAAATGAAGCTGAACTTAAGAATTTTAGACACATACATCAAAAGCATATGAAGAAGTTAGTTTATGTTTTTATTATAGGCACTCTCGTTCATATTGGTTTTTCTTGCCTTTCCATATCTTTTTACCCTGATTTTCTTGGAGCTGATTTCTTGTTTCTCTTATATGTACCAGTTTGATTTTGCCATGAATGCTCTCTTGTCTATGAACATGGTGGTGAGCTTCTTGATTGCTTTTGTTCTAGACAACACCGTTCCTGGCACCAAGCAAGAACGAGGGGTATATAAGTGGTCAACTTCTGAAGATTTGGCAACAGATGCTTCTTCCCAAGCCAGTTACAAGTTTCCTAGTGGAGTTAGTCGTGCTTGTTGCTGGGCAAAGTGTCTAGGTGTATAACCTCAGCAGTTGGTTCGTGCTGCTTCTTTGGGCTTTTGCTTCTTTTTGGCCGTCTCTTGAACTTTTGGGTCTCGTGGTATGGCTCAACTGGGTGAAGGGTTTCCTACAATTAATTCACCCGATTTTGGGATTATTGATCTAGAGCTTAAATAGAGTTAAGGAAATTGCACAAGCATACTAGTTCATTATAGGAAACAAATGAAAAGTCTATGTATTGACATAATATAAAGTGTATGTCACATGCCTTGCAAGTTACAAGAGTAGAGTGTGAAGTAGGAAGTGTGAATTAATTTAAAGAGAAAGTTGAGTTTATTCAGCAAGATTGTAACTCAGAAATCAATGAAAAAGGAAAAAAAAAAAAAACTTCTACTTGCATTCTTCTTTCCAATTTTGATCCATTTGAAAAGAATTATTATGTCTGTTATGCTTCTTCTTCTTCAGCAGTCTATCAAATACTAATCATTTCTTTTTACAAGCTAGTTATTTCTGTATCAGGGTTCACAATTTTCATCCAAGAAGGGGTAGTCAGTGTAACCCAATATAGGATCATGGGTATAGAATGTAGCAGCATCATATGCATTCAATGGAGCATCAATCTCAAACCGACGAACCAAATCAGGGTTTGAAAGGAAAAACCGGGCATAAGCAATCAGATCAGCATCATCATCAGCAATGGCTTTCATCCCTAGCTCTTTGTCGAATCCTCCGCTGATCATGAAGGTTCCCTGGTATGCTCTCCGGAATTCTTTCAGCTGCTCAGCTTCTTTCTCACCAATGCCATGGGTAAGCGTTCCTGCTTGAATTTGCAAGTAAGAAAGTTTAAGTCCTATTTCTTCTTGCCGTCTGTTAAGTCTCTCCAGCACTGCTAAGCCTAAAGCAAGTGTGTCAGAATCATGGGCGTCGTGGGTGTACATTGTTGGTGATATTTTCACGCCGATTCTCTCAATCCCAATGGCTTCAACTACAGCATCCAGAATCTGCATCAAGAATCTGCATCGATTTTCAAGGGATCCGCCATACTGATCTGTCCTATCATTGACTCCATCCTTTAAGAACTGGTCAATGAGGAAGCCATAGGCTGCATGAAACTCAACCCCGTCGAAACCTGCTTTAATGGAATTAATGGCTGCTTGACGGTATTGATCAATGATCTCTGGTATCTCTGAAGAAGTTAAAGCTCTGGGATTTGAAAAATCTGATGGTGATCCATTAGGCAGTATCACTTTCCATCTGCTTGATATAGGTTTGTTTGTTGAAGATATTGGTGCTACACCTCCGGGTTGATATGCTGTACCACAAGAAATGAAGAGCTCACCAGGTTGGTATGAAAATTCTGATTTTATTTTTAACATTTTAATGGCTTGAACTGAAAATGATCTCGGATATTAATTCTGTAAGATGCTTCATAAAAACTACTCCGTATCTTAAGTTACTTTGTTTGAGAAGTGATGAAAAACAAATTAGGTGAAGAACAATGAATTTAAATGTACCAAGGTGTGAGGCGCGCCCAACATGCCACAACTGACAGAAGATGTAAGCCCCTTTGGCATGAACGGCATCAGTAATTTTCTTCCATGCCTCGACTTGCTCCTCCTGGTAAATCCCTGGGCAGTGAGGATACCTGCAAAATTGACTCTTCTCCATTAATAAAAAGTCTATGATCAACTTTTGGGAAAATAGAGACAGGAAAGTCTTTAAGGTACATGAAGAGATTTGAAAATGATAATTGTCAATTAAAAGGAGTAAAAGGAGAAGTTACCCATGAGCAGTAGGAGAGATGAAAGTGCCTTCAGAAATGAGAAGCCCGCCATTAGTAGCACGCTGAGAGTAATACTCAACCATGGCATCATTAGGGATGCCATTCAATGCCCTACAACGAGTCATAGCCGCCATAACAACTCTGTGAGATAGGCGTAGCTCCACCTCCTTCCCCATCCTGTATGCACTCAGTAGATCATGCTTCCTCATCACCTCTTCCTTTCCTGTTTCTTCCTTGGTGTTCATCTTTAATCTATCTTTTCGTCAATGATGAGGCTGCCGTCTATTAATCTATTATCATACAGCATATAAAACAGCATAAAAACAAGCTTCTTTGTCTTCTTCAGGTGGTTAGTAACATCATAAGTCTTATAAAGAAAGAAATAATGATAAAACTCTTCTTTAAGCTCAGTCTTTGACTTTGAACAATAAGAAAATATATTCTATTGTCAAAGTGCCAATCATACTTGTAACTTGTGAGCACTCTTTCATAGTGATATTAGATAATTACCTCCTACGTCATTAGTGATGCCAAGTGCTAACTAATTCACATTCTATGATTAGCTTGTCATGTATAGGGATTTAATCTACTATTCAGATCAAGATTTCATAACAAAATATTAAGTCAATGTTGGTGTGAATTATGAAAAAATTATTTACCACTACTACTATTATGCCAATTATGATAATATTTGGTTGAATTTAAAAGCTCATATTTTAAGGAGACTAAACTATTATCTTCTGTTTTCAGAAAAAAAAAAAAAAAAAAAAAAAAAAAAAAAAAAAAAAAAAAAAAACTATTATCTTCTACTGTTATTGGTATATTGGTATTTGGTCTTAAAGGGACTTGTTATATTGTTGAGGGATGTATGCCATGTTGTCCTAGTTCTGTTAGACTGTTGCAAGTTCGAAAATCAGTCTTCCAAGTTGAATATGGTTAATGTGTATAGAGCTTAGAAAGCCAAATGGACTGAAGTTTCCAATGGAAACTTGGAAAGGGAATCACCCTTTCACAGCCTCTCATATAATGTTGGGGTGACTATTTAAAAATTGAAAGGTGGCTTTTTGTCATATTTTTAGATTTCCTGTTATCTTTTCTTGATGATGTTTTTATAACTTTGACAGAATCTCAGATCTCCAACCATTTTAGCTACTGCTGTGTGTAAAAAGCATGCAAGTTGTGATTTTAAAGAAGTAAATAAAATAGCAACTTTTTTAACTTCACTAAAACGAAAGTTAAGGTCTAAGATTTTAGGTGAGAGAGGTACATAAGAGATGAAATTCTATGTTAGAGTTAGAACAGGAAATCGAGAGCATTTTCATTTAAACTTATAGGCTTGTAACTGAGAATTCTGTAAGGAAACATTCACTTGTATTCTCAAGAAAAGGTTAATCTGTTACACTTCTTAGTTCTTACTAATCAAACCTTATTTAAAAGCTAGTTTTCTTAATCTCAAGGATGAGAGCTTTCATCCAAGAAGGGGTAATCAGTGTAACCCACTACAGGATCATGGCTATAGAATGTAGCAGAATCATACTCATTTAATGGTGCATTAATCTCAAACCTGTGGACCAAATCAGGGTTCGAGAGGAACAGCCGGGCATAAGCAATCAGATCAGCATCACCTTCAGCAATGGCCTTCATCCCCAGCTCTTTGTTGAATCCTCCACTAATCATGAAGGTTCCTTGGTATGCTCTCCTGAGTTTTCTCAGCAGCTCGGCTTCTTTCTCTGTAATCCCATGTGTAAAAGTTCCTGCTTGAATTTGCAGGTAACAGAATTTAAGCCCCTGCTCTTCCTGCAGCTTGTTAAGTCTCTCTACCACTGCTAAGCCGAGGCCTAGCTGATCAGAATCGTGGGCTTCTTGGTGGTACAATGTAGGGGATATCTTCACCCCGATTCTTTCTATTCCAATGGCTTTGATCACAGCATCGAGAATCTGCATCAGGAATCTGCATCGATTCTCAAGGGACCCTCCGTATTCATCTGTCCTGTCATTGATCCCATCCTTCAAGAACTGGTCAATGAGGTATCCGTAGGCTCCATGAATTTCAACTCCATCGAATCCTGCTCGAATAGAATTTATGGCTGCTTGACGGTAGTGTTCAATGATCTGTGGGATCTCTGAAGTCGTTAAAGCTCGAGGGCTTGAATAATCAGAAAATGATCCGTCAGGCAATATAATTTTCCACCTGGTTGGTATAGTCTTGTTTGTTGAAGATATGGGCGGTCCACCGTCTGGTTGGTATACTATATCACCAGAAAATATCATCAGGTACTCTCATTTCACGTTATGAATTTGTTGTTTTAGTGTCCGAGTATAAATAAATGAAGATAAGTGAATGTTAATGTACCATGGTGCGAGGCACGGCCTACATGCCACAATTGACAGAACATATAGGCGCCTTTGGCATGAACAACATCAGTAACTCTCTTCCAGGCCTCCACTTGTTCCTCCAGGTAAATTCCTGGGCAGTGAGGATAACTGCAGAAATTAGCTCTTCTACATTAACATTCATCGTCTCTTATTACAGGGTTTTTTTGTTAAAATGCTGAATCTTATGATAATATTATATAAGATCAGAGAAAGTCAATTTACCCATGAGCAGTGGGAGAGATGAAAGTGCCTTCAGAAATGAGAAGGCCACCATTGGTAGCGCGCTGTGAGTAATACTGAACCATGGCTTCATTAGGAATACCATGTAATGCCCGACAGCGAGTCATAGGCGCCATAACCACTCGGTGAGATAGACGTAGCTCCACCACTTTCCCGATCTTATATGCCCTCAATAGATGATCAGATTGATCATTCCCCTGCAGTTCAACCCCTACTGCTGCTGCTTTCTTCCCCTTCACTCTTGGTGGTTTTAGTGTAGTAAGTTTGTTGTTTACAAGAACAACAGGAAGACAAATCCCTAATGACTACTAGTGAATACTGTCAATCTGTCATACTTCAGGTTTCCCATACTAGTTTTGGATCTTTAGTGCTATCTTTTAATTATTTGTGGTACATACAAGTTCATTTTAACTCTGTCCTGATCATGCGTGATTTAAAGCTGATGACATGAGACAAAAAAAAACTAGATTATTATGCAAGTGGACAGTTGAGTATGTGGTGCAAACAAGTACTTACTACGGAGTACTTAGTTATCCCATCAAACAATGCATAACTTTAACCATTAAAAACATTTACTCATCAAAGTTGTAAAAAGTTTACATATTTTGAAGGCTAATATTAGTCTATTGGATTTATTTTTTTTTTTAAAAAAGTTTGTTCAAGTATAAATTATGAAATATAAAAGTAGTGTATGTAAATAAATAGTGCAAAAGTAAAAAAATAAATAAATAAAAATAATTAATAAAAAAAAAAAAAAAAAAAAAAAAAAAGACTGGGCCTTACCTAGCATGCTCTGATCTCATGAATTTAAGAGTGCTATTGAGCTAAATGTAACCTTTCCAATCAGGATTATGTTGCACATATCATCAAAAGATGGTCTTAACCTATTTGTTACTTTAAACTAGATAGACTTGAATAAAAAAAATAAAAAAAAAATAAAAAAAAAGAGTTAAGACAAATTTATTTACAAACTAGGAATAGTAACCTCATTTCAGGGTGAAGTAATGTGTAGAATTTAGCTAGACCTCACCAATAATGAGCTACTGCATTCTCATATCTCACAGAGAAGGTAGTCACAGACTCACAGTACTTGGCGACAACGCCGACAAGTACTAAATTCTCATCCTTCATCTTTGTAACCCCCTATGAGTCCTTGTGTCAAGAACTTTTCAAGTGATTCATGAGAAGATCAGATTAGCAGACAATCTTGGCTGTTTTTCCCTTGATGATCAAGTATATTTTCAACATTAATCTTTAGGGTATGAACAGAGAATATTGTAATACACAACATTTCAAATTTCTTTAACATTTTTACAATCACAAAGTGAAAGAAGTACAACAAGACAGAGAGAAGTTATACATTCCCATTCTATTCTTGTACTCTTAAGATATAATGAAGCAAATGCCCTTCTAAAATATCTTATACACACACATATGCGGAACACTGAGGGAAAACTTATCGCCATCACCTGAATAATCCATATTTTCGTGTAGATAGAAAAACTTACCTGTGAAAGGAAAAAAAAAATAGAGAAGGTATAACTAGAACATTGTGAATTTTATAAATATTTATAAAAATAAGATCTTCCTCTGTCAATAAATAATAGGCCACATTGCATTTTTATATGGGATATACTAAAGTAAGATATTTAACTAGCCTATATTAGCTCTAATGATACCTTTGACTAAAAACTGTAATGAAATATTATGGTAGGAAATTAGGGATGTATAAACTAACTATAGAGAAAAATACTTTCAGATATTTCTATTCTGTTCTTTAAAAATGACCTCTAATCAAATGTGGCCTACTAAATAGAGATTGAGATATTAGTACTGTTAGTGTATTAGGATGTGTTATTACGCCAATCTTGGATGAGAAAACGAAGATTGTTGTTAGGAACGAGATGTCTGTGCTTTAGCTTCTGGTTGGTCACAGGAGAATTATGGTGCCCCTGTTGCACCCATTCTTCTATGGCTTCTAGCTCATATGAGTATCCATCTGCTGCTATATGTGGATTGTCCATTACCACCTGAATTAAATTCATTGCACGTACATTATACAAAACTATCTTTACTCGGACAGCAAGTATAGGAAGTCGTGTATGCAAGGAGTTAAGGTCGCTAACCTGAAGTAAGGGGCACAAGAAATTGGAAGGAACTTGACTCCACTCCTCGCCAGAGGATGTACCATCTTCACTTCCCACATGATATTCTCGTTTAGTTATCACATCATCAGCCTTTTTCTTTAGTCCATTCAACTCTTTAGTCACTGAAGACATAATATCTCCTGCACTAGGCACTGAGTTTATGGACCTACATTTCATTGCTAGCTTCACAACCTCCTCTACCAAATCCAAAGGCCAATCACCTGCATTTTCATCCAAGGCTTTGAGGATGACCTGACTATTGTCAATCATCATAGCCTCGTGATCAAGCCTAGCCCAGTTTCTTCCTGTAAGAAGCTGAAGCAACAAGTCTCCTAAAGCAACCACATCTGATTGCATATCAGACTCATGACACTCATCAGGGCTTGGTCTGAGTTCAAATGAATGGAGCTTGGCCACAAAATTACGGTCCAGGAAGATGGTGGATGGATTAAGCTCACTACATACTATGGGCATGGGTTTCGCGAGGTGAAGGAATCTCAATCCCAAACTGACTTCGGCTGCAATTTGGATCCTTTGGTGCCATTGAAGTGCCCTGCCTTTTGTCCTTGAGAATATGATGTCTCTGAGGCATCCGTTTTGCATGTACTCAAAAACTAAGCACTTGAGCTCTGAGCAGTAGCCGATAAATGCTGTGACTTGGGCATGCCGGATGTTTGCAAGGAGATTCACCTGCTTCAAAGTTCGATTTAGATACGAGAGCTAAACAAAAATACAGGCACTGGCAAATAAAAGGATATGTGGGTGTTTTACCTTTGCTTGGAAAAACTCCTGAAACATATGATCATTGGAATCGAGCACCTTCACTACAACAGACAGGCGATTGATCCTGCCTTTGTACACATTAGTCCAATTTCGTCCATATGTCAATCTCCTGTATGTAGCAAGGTTATCAGTAGCTAATCTGATCTCATCTGCACTGAACTCCCTGTGGCTGCAGCTGACCTGATCACCCATCCTATTAGCCGAGCCAATAGCATCCTTTTCTTTGCAAAACTCGATCCTCCTTTGGAACACATCTCTCTGCTTTCTCAACTCCTCGATTTCTCTCACTAGCTCAGTTCTTTTATTGGCTATATTCTCTAGCTTAATCTCAGCTTCCCGCTTAGCAATTGAGGAAACTTGGAGTTTGCTAGACAGCTCAGATTGGAACTCGACTAATGAGCTTAATCTGTCCTTGCTCTCTTGCACATCAGCTTGGATTTCATGAATCTGCTCTTTGGTGTTGTCTATGTCTTTGGTTAGTTCAGTTCGCGTTGAGATCTCTTCTTCTATTTGAGCTTGGAGCTGCTCAGCCTGTACAAAATATCAGTGTTTGTATTCAGAAATATCTATCACAGGATATTAGGTGCATATCAGCTAGATATATCGAGAAATTCTAATTACCCGGTGATTGCACAAGCAAATAGCCCATGAAGCTTTGGCTTGTCTGTCGACTTCAGCCTTGGCTGCATTTTTATTCAACTCAATCATAGCGCGTGCTGCTTGTAAATCATTTTTCAGAGTTTCAACTCTCTCACCAGGACTCTGTAATAACAGAACATCACTACATCAGTTACAGTTTCAGGCCATTAAGATGATCAGGTACCAAAAACATAACAAACAGTACTAAAAATACTTCAGCACTTACAATATCAGCAATTTAGTGCACACAATTTGTTGTCATCTTTTTCCCCCTCAATAAGTCAATAGCATCTATTTTTATTTTTTGAATTGTCAATAGCATCCAATTCAATAGAATGGAATTTCAGTCAAGGATGACCTCTCTTTCTAAACTTTGACTTTTTTTATTTTCTTTGTTACAATCTAGAATGCATAGTATTTTTTTATAAAACGGAGGGAGTACTACTAACAAGAAGGTACATAATTGAGTAGATGCGAATCAAGGGTAAACGTGAATACTTGATAGTATAGTCAAGCTATACGGTATATAATTTTGCAAAATCGAAGGGTAAGATAAAAGGGATCCTAACCTTCATGAAAAACACTGAACTTTCTACCCATAAAAACATCAGACGACACCCAACCTTGAGTAGGTGCACGTCGAATCCCAACCTTCTCCGTTCAATTTTCAAATAAAAAAGAGCTCCATGTATGAAAATCTTCACACAGCACATAGGACTTCTTGCACCAATAAAACAAATCAACTTTATATCACCAATATTCAAATGCTTCAAAGTCAAAACATGAGTAGCATAAAAGGGGGCCACCCAAAAAAAAAAAAGGTGGTTGTTGGTACAACAAGACAACTAAAACCAAGGTATCATCTTTTATGCAACTACTAGCCCAAACCCAAACACTACGTCCATATTTGATATTTCTAACAAGAATATAACATAGAAGTTGGTACCTAAAACATACCTGTATACAATCAACAAACATGTCTTGCACATTTGTATTATTTTCCTCGGCATCATCTTTATCCTCGTCCTTTAAACTTGACTCTAACTCATGGAGATACTCCTCGATATCTTGTTCATATAATTCCCATTGATTAGTAACCGTCCTTGAAAGAGGGGAATCCGAATCCAAACTCGAACATCGTGATGAGGGGTATGTTGGGGAATTCACTTGTCCATGGGATAGCATTTTTCCTAACCAACCTTTAAAATTAGTTTTTTGCTTATATTTTGCCACAATTACCCCTTCCTCATCTTCCATGTACCCTTCATCATTTTCCTCCTTAAGCATTACCAATTTTCCTCTGCTTAGTATGAATAATTCACAGAAATCCGGCTTCGATCGATGAACGTAAAACGACCCGCTAATCGCGTTCTTTGATCTCCTATATAGTTTGATCAAGCCATTGAAAACAAAACCCACAAATTTAATCAATATATACTTTTAGAAAATAATTAAAATTTATTGAAATAAACAAAGAATTAGTATAAGATTACAATTAAACATACCCTGATGATGATCTCATAAATGTCATTCCCATAACAAGCTTAGTAATTTTCTTCTCTATGATTAAGTCAACCACCGTCTTTTGAATTGGTTCATCATGGTTATTAATATTATGCACCTCTGCATTTACCTGTTAAATAAAATTCATAGAATTTTAGCTTTGACTAGTATTCTAATTTCATGAGTTCTTGAAAATATTGCAATTAATTTGAAACGGGGCGAATATAAAATTGACAAAATTAAAAAAGGAGCTTACTTTTCCACAATAGGCAATGTATCTGGATAGGAGTTTGTCAGTTTTCTCTTGTTCACATTTCCTGAGAATCTGAATTTTATCATCACTTACAGAACTTGCAGGAAGCTTTCCAACTATAGAATAAAAAAAAAAAAAAAAAAAATACATCATCATAATTCATAAATTATGATCACATAGTATAATTAAACATACTACAAATAAAAATTAATAAACCCAAAAAATGACAAAAAAGGTGGAATTTGCTTACATGGGGTATCAACAAATTCAAAGGAAGAAGAATTATTGATGAAGAGAATAATAATGGAGATAGGATGATTAGAACCCCATTTTTTAATAACCCAATTT